TTATCCTATGGGACAGAAAAGCCATTCACTCTGATAAAGCTGCCCATTAAAGCACAAAAAGAGGCTTAGATCTAGCACGTGGAGGGGAAATTAACCGCCAACTGCGAAAGAGCACAGCAGCACCACTTATTCAACAGCTTTCCCAAGAAACACTAGTTTTCTACTTTACAATAAACATACATACTTCTGGTACCATTAGAAGATTGTGTACAGAACTGTATTACCATACTTATATAAAGAAATCCAGAGATTGTTGACTGACATGATGAATAATTAAATGCTTTGAAGGCAGAAAAAAGTGCAAAAGCTATAAAATAGAAGTGTTCAATTCTGAACTAGGTCTTTGCCATTCTTCTCACCACATTCCCCACACTATGTTGATTAAAGCCCTACATATAAAGTGTAATCAACACCAGATACAATAGATTATATTAATGGATATAGGTAAAAGCAAAATTACTCAGTCTGTTCTGAGACACATGTATTGTTCTGCTATAGCAAGGAAGAGCCATAGCTCTATTAACATATCAAGTGGTTAAAATCCCAGCTAACGCCTATCTTCGGCTTCACATAGACTACAGAAATATTAATCTCCCTCAGAATAAAAACTGAAGTGCTTTTGGTGGTTATCTTTAGTACTGTTCTAAAAAAACCAACATGTAACAACAATCACCACACCTGTTTAAAAGAGAAAGATAATCAAAGGTAGCGATTAAGATTTTCAGAAGCATTTAGAGTGGAAAGGTTCCTCATTGGCTCAACTGAATAAATGTAATGCCCCCTCTGCAGATGGTACACCCTAAGGTCAAAAGCTCAAGTTTTTCCTCTTTTAATAATAATCTCATAAAACTTTCAAAAAATGTAAAAACTACTCTTGGCTTTAGAACAACAAAATAGCTTAAAAATATGAAAGAGTAAAGCACTACAATGCAAGTACTGCAATATTCTTACAGGCAATTCAGCTGTTCTTTTGGCATCTTTACACAATTAGATTATCTGAAATATTTTCCTTTTTAATCCCTTGAAATCATCAAAAGCAAAACCATGGAAGTAATCAAATCTTGAATCCCAACTAGGCCTGACAGAGGGTCAGGACAGACACACAATGCCCCCTATTCTCAGTTGCTCTATTTCACTTCTTCCCACAAGGACTGGTCTCTTCACCCTGTTCTTTTATTTCCTGTATACAATATTATCAGTACGTGGGGGGGGGAATCTCTGCCACACAGTCTTATCTGTTCTGATCCGGATATGTATCTGGAGCTAAAGTTATGAAGAATTAATACCCATTACCTTTTAACTGCAGGAAACATGTTTTCCTCCTTACTCTAGGTCTAAAAGGAGTTTAGTGTAACACCTATGAACGTGCTCAAGTAACCTAAAAGGACCTCCAGCTGCTACAAAAGGGGCTGAGAGCGCAGCACTTGGTGTTTATAGAGAGGCCTACTTACATTTGCAGCCGTTCAAGGGAGTATCTCCGGTGAGCCCCCCAGTTATGTCTATAACCCCCCGTGCAGAATAAGCGCCCAGTTCCGCTGTTACAGGTTTACCCGACACCGCGGACCTCGCGCCCAGAGCTCCCCGCTGCCTCCTATGTGGGTTCTTACACACTCCCCTCAGGCCGGAACGGGGCCTTACAGCCCGGTCTCCGAGCGCCGCTCCCTCCCCGAGGAGAGATGCATCGCCGGCTCCTTGCCCACCCGTCCCCAAGGACAACACCTCCTCCCCGGCTCCCAGTCACAAGCCCGTCCCCGGGGGCCGCCTCCTCTCATACATCCCCGCACACACCCCACAGCCCTCCGCCCGGCCCATCCCCGGGTCCGTAGCATTCCCTGCCGACCCTCCGCCCGGCCCCCCACCTCCGCGGGCCCGGAGCCTCCTCCGCCAGCCTGGCCCAGCTGCTCACCAGGAGTAGGTCTGCTCCGCCATGGCTGCTGCGGGGCGGCCGAGCTGCGCGGCGGTGGCCAAGCCCCGGCTCCTCCTCCTCCCCCTCACTTGCTCCGGGGCTCAGTGGCGGCCCCGCTGCGGCTCCCGGCCCAACATGGCGGCGGCTGTAAGCAGGGAGGGGAGCGAAGGGGTCCCCGCCCGGCGGGGGGGCTGCTCAGTAGCCACGCCACAGGGCCGTGCTCGGGCGCCGACGACAGCCAGGCCTCATGACCGGGAAGCAGCGACGGCGTCCGGACTGGGAGAAAGGGAAGGGGAAACTCCGCGTACCGAGCACCAAGGCGAGGCCGCTCAGACTCTGCTCGCGCACGGGGGGCGGGGCCTCCGGTCGCGCGGGTCACGTGCCCACAACACGCTCACGTGCCGCCGCCGCCGCCGGCCCACTCGCGCAGAAGCATTACGGAACCTGACGCGGTTGCGTGCTGGGCCTGCCCGCACTCCGTTCCCTGTGAGTCTCCAGGGCGGAGAGGCAGAGCCTTCCAACGGGAATGCGACCTGTTCGCTTTCTCTGGGGATGAGAGATCGTCTTGCCAACGTATCCCCCCTCGAGAACTGGGGACAGGAGCCTTCCCGGGGGGAGAGTCTGAGGTTCTCCCCTCAGAGCTGGGGACATGGAGCCTTCCCGGGGTGGGGAGGGGGCTGAGCTATTCACTCCCCTCTCAGTGGGGACAGGGAGCCTTCCGAGGGGGGCTATACTCTCCCCTCAGTGCTGGGACATGGTGCTTTCTGGGTGTGTGTGACCTATTTAGCCCAGGTGTCCTTCCCGTCCCGCCTGGGTACAGGACTCGAGCCTGCTCATTCTGAACTATTACATTTCCCCTGCAGTGCAAGAAAGCTGCCTGGGGAGTAGAAGTAGGGTGGAGCCTGCACCCGGCCCCCTTCCTCGCAGCTCAGCGGGACAGTATGAGCCACAGAAGCCATGCCCACCGCGTAAGGGGCTCCGCCCAGCACGGTGCTCTGGCGGCGCGGTTCTCTCCCTCCGCAGGGAACCACCTTTCCTCCCCGATGGACCTGCCTTTGCGAGGGGAGTTGCTAGGAGCGGAGCTCCTTTTCCGCCTTTATATGTAATCGGTGTAAACAACGCATTAGGGAGGAGAGAGTCTTGTACTCGATTCGAACCCTAAATGGTGGAGACAGAACAAAACTGGGCAGAATTCTGACCCGTCGTACATCGGGTTTGTTTCTCTTAGTTCATTTGAGTTCTGCTGGCAATGAAAGTCTGACTGACTGCCAGAAATCCCTCCTTCCAACTAGAAAGCTGATTTGGGAAGTGTTAGCTGCAGGAGTTGGGAGTCTGTATGGAGGGAATGGCCCTGGTAGGATCAGGTACAGACTGGGAAGCTCAGTGGAATGGGGAAATCTCAGGGAGTCTTTTAGTAGTGAATAGAGTGAACTCTGGGACCGGAACCCACACATCAGAAATTTTAAAGTGACATCCATGTTAAGGAGGGAGGGTGTGCCTGTCTAATTTATGCATATTTTATTCTGACATGTTGCAGGTTGTGAGCCCCCAGCATAATAGAGCCAGTTTAGTCATTTAAGGCTGGGATACCTAGGAACATCAGAATCGGCATATGAAATTAGACCTATGGTCCATCTTGTTCAGCATCCTATCTCTGTCTGGCCAGCACCCAGATGTTTCAGAAGGTGCAAGTAACTCCACAGTAGGCAGTTGTGGGATAATCTGCCCCTCTCCCATCAAAAATCTCATCCTAATCCCTAAAACTGGTTTAAACCCAGAAGCATGAGGTTTTATCTTGTAAAAAAAAATTGTTAGCATTAACTATTAATGATATAAATGTCCAATAATTTTTAATCTTTCGAAAGTCTTTGTCTTATTGACATCCTGTGACAATGAGTTCCACAGTCCAATTTTTCTTGTTGTAAGTGGGAGAGGTTTTCTTTGGTTTCCCTAGTCACATTTCCATCTCCCTCATTGTGCTTGCAGAGTGCCATGTAATTGGTTGGTTTCCACCTTCCCCAGAAATTACAACATTGAGTGGGGTCATGGGTAGATATAGGACTCAATCCTGTGAGATGATGAGCTTCCTCAGTCAAAATAAGTTGATGCTGAATGCTGGGTTTGGATATGTTTAGATATTTAGTTTAAAATCTGGGGTGGTAAATGTAACTTTTGTTTCAATTCAACTAGGTTTTTGTCAATAGATAGATGAGGTATGGGATTTGTGCACAAAGAGAGAACTACACTCCTCACAGTTCCTGAGGTTGCTACTCTGTTGTCTCCTTCATTACCTGGAAATGCTCAATTTATAACAGAAGACACTATTGACATTTAAAACGGATGTGCCAATCCAGCAATACGTGCATCTCATTAGCTTGTTTTCATTACTCCTCCTTGCTCAAGAAATATCCAGTACACCTCTACCTCGATATAACTCTGTCCTCGGGAGCCAAAAAAATCTTACTGCATTATAGATGAAACCGCGTTATATTGAACTTGCTTTGATCCACCAGAGTGTGCAGCCCCGTCCCCCCTGGAGCGCTGCTTTACCGCATTATATCCGAATTCATGTTATATCAGGTCGCATTATATCTAGGTAGCAGTGTAGTAGCTTCTTTGTGTTTCTTCAGTCCAAAAAAAAAAGAGGGAAACGCCCCCAATTTTACCTGCAGAGTGATCTCCTTCCAGTGCTGGGGGAGAACATGAGAGAAACACACTTACAGGGACTGTGGAGTGGAGGGGGTGCACATGCATGCACACAGCTTGTCTTTTTGTCTACAAAGGCCAGACTTCATCTGCCTGGGGTGGGGGGGAAACAAGCTAGGGGTCCAATCCTGCAAGTCCTAACTTCAGTGGAACTACTGGGGTGAGGAAGATCACACCCTAATTTAACACAAAACTATATTTCTATTTCCTCTTTTACACACACACGGGTATACATATTGAAGCCTTGAAAACCAACTGCTTTTCCCATTGCTGTTTCAGTTCCACCAAATTCATGTCACTTCACAGGGACGTGCTACTTCTGAGGAATAAGTTTGTTTGTTTGTTGGAGGAGGGGCACTTGATAAATATCAGGTCTTTGGTACAATGATTCTGAACTTTTAGAATTCTTTAATTACATTCCCTGGTATGTTACAGAAAACTTACACTTACAGAGACATCTTTGACTTTTTCTTTAAAGACAACAAAGGAGATTAAAGAAACCAGAAGCTCAGGATTCTTTTAGGAAAGCCTGCAGGGGCAGAAAAGAACATTCAAAACATCGAAACATGCTGAGACAAAATGTTAAATGGATGTCTCACTGTAACACCAAACACCATGTTAAAACCATCTGTCAGGGAGAAAACTTGTCACCTGTTGATATGACTTGTCCCTTCCCTCTTCTCTGTCTTAGTCTCTCTCTGTTTAGTGCTGCTGACAATCCTGAATCCTACGAATGATTATGTTTCTGCTGAGTACAACTTGCGGCCCTGATCCCACAAGCTTTGTTCACTCAGGTAAACTTTACTCAATGTTATTTTGTTGAAACTACTTGCCTGAGTAAGGATTTGCAGGTTTAAGCCCTTGGACATCAGTCCAGCCTTTCAGTATTTTTCACTATTCTCTTTAACATGGCAGAGAGTAAAGAGCTAGTGTTAAGTGACAGGTGACTGTAATGTAATTGCCTTAGAGATGGAAGAGCTCCACCTAGGCCTGGAATAAATAGCCCTTATAATGTAAGTTCAAGGTACATGCAGAGACTGCATTCATTAACATAATGTTAATGACTGTATTTATAGTCTTTTTCTTTCTGCCATTGTCCTCAAAAAGATTTAATAGGGCGCTGGGGCATTCTCCTTACATGCCACTATCCAAGAACACTTAATCCCTCCTGAAGTGGACAGTGCAGTATTAGGAGCTGGGTTACTTGGTCTTATTTGGATGGGAGAGGATTCAGGACCTATATTTTTGTCAGTCTTATTTACTGTATTGAAACAGAGCAGCTTTGTTTCAGGAGGTTGATCTGTGGTTAGAGAACAGGATTGGGAGCCATGGGTTCTTCTCCCAGTTCTGTTACTGGCTCTCTGTGTAATCTTGAGGAGAGTCACTTCACATCTCTGTGGCTCAGTTTCACCATCAAATGGGGATAACAACACTTCCCTAGCTCCCAGGGGTGTTGGGTGGACTGATTAGTTAATTATAGTAAAGCTCTTTGAAAAAGGAAAGTATTACATAGGAGCTCAGTGTTATATAAAGTATGACTTTCCTGTGAGGAGGAGGGAGCACCCAAAATACCTGTACAATTAAAATAGTGCTTATTAATAAGATGACGTTTGGGACTTCTTTGAGGGCTTCTCCTTCTCTAGCTATACCCCTAAAGTACCACATATCTATGCCATGAAAACAGTGTTAAAGATGCATCATAGCTGATGGAGTGAGGAATGTCACTTCTTTCCCCCCTTTCCCTCAGAGGTCCTGCGCTGAGACAGTCATCCCTGTAATGTTGCCACACTTCTAGACCCTCTGCAAAAACTTTTTGCAGTCCAAGGTATCCTGACCAGACAGAGGAAAAGCCAAGGAACAGCTGATATAAGTAGCATGTACCCCTCCAGCTTCTAAAGCCTGCAAAAAATTGTTACTATAAAATATGAAGTAGAAATACTTGAGGAAGCACTTGCTCAGCTTTCATTCCCCATTGGGGAATACAATGGCAGGTGGAGGCCTCAGTCATCACTGGAGAGTTGAGTATAATCATTCATCAATACCCAGTAGCTGCACAGGCAGGAGCTAATTGTGTTGCCATTGCTGAAAAAGTAGTGGGTCTAGACATGAACACAGAACAGTAAGATCCCTTCTCTGTACCCCACCAGGAAAGAGTTGTGATGCTAATACAATGAGTAGTGCTCATGTGACACTCTCACATGGCATGGAACACAGCCTGTTCCCATTAACAATTCTGGTGATGACAGTCTACCCACCGGGAGGGAAGAAGCAGGGGATTTTCCCTTTAAAGATCCCTGACTGTTCCACCTTTGTAAATTCCTTCTTTCTATTTAACAGTATATTTCCATCTGCTCTTCCGTTAGGTCCCTTCTCAAACACACATATACCATTCCTGATACATTCCCTATCCCCACCCCAGCAGGTATGGGAGAACAATTTGGGATAGAGATGGGGCAGGGATGGAGGAGAAGGTCACATTCAAAATCTTATGTTAGCCTATCATAGAATATCAGGGTTGGAAGGGACCTCAGGAGGTCATCTAGTCCAACCCCCTGCTCAAAGCAGGACCAATCCCCAGACCGATTTTTGTCCCAGATCCCTAAATGGCCAAGGATTGAGCTCACAACCCTGGGTTTAGCAGGCCAATGCTCAAACCACTTGGGCTGTGGAGCTTGAATAGCTTTGCAGGGAGCCCAGCGAAACACACACAGCAGGATCCCCTCTCAAGGGAAATAATTTTCTTCTCCCTGAACACTCTCACTCTAAGTAGCATTTCACTATGACCAGAACTGAAATTGGAAAACTGTGACACAGTGAGGAATTTGGGACTTTTCATTCTACTGCACTGCAAATAGAGTTTCACTGGGAGCGATTCCCACCATACCATGCATCAGTTTGTTCAAACAATTTATTTTCACAAGTCTTTACAAACAAGTAGAACATAATCTCCTGCTCTTTTCCACTATCAGAGGGGAGAATAAATCAATACTTCAAGTACTTTTCAGTTCTTCAGATTAGTTTCCTGGACTCTTCTGGGAATGGGGCATAAAACAATTCTGGTATCCATAGAACAGCAGCATGCATGCTGACCACCCATGATGAAATGGTTTCTAATTCTACAGCCTGGAAAAACTCTACTTACCACATTCGTTTGAGGCACAACTGATTTTATCTGATGGGCAATTAACTTATCATTAGATTTTCAGCAACAACATGGTAAAAGCAGGCAAGTAGACTTTGTGCCTAGGCTAGTAAACATTCATGATGATTTTGCAGGCATGCTCCAGCAGCATTACACAGTAACAATGAGACCAGTTCACAAGGCAGGTTTATTCCTTTCTGCAGATCCAGCACGCACTCACTCTTAGCAGTGTGGGGTGGGGCATTGCTTGCATTCCCCAAATTATTTTCTTATCATATATATCTCTTTCACAGAATCTCCTCAGACCTGCAAGAGATGGAGAGCCTTACTCTGAGTTTCAGTGATTTCAGAGTCTGACATTACAGTCTCTCTTCAAGTGAGCTGCCCTGCACCTTGAACATACACTGCTGCAGTGCCTAGACCTGTCAGAGCCATTTCAGTGCTGGCAGCAAACAAGTAAGATCCTTCTTTGTCCCGGGTTGCATAAGTAGCTCCCAGGGCACAGTAAGGTAACAGCATAGGAGAGAACGGGTGGTAGAGGGGAATCAGATGGCACCACTGACAGCAAAGAGCCCTCCCCCATCAGCCACAAAGCTTGGCTTTTATCAGATGTCAGTCTAACAGACCCAGTTCTGATTCCTCACTGATGGAAATAGAGAGATAAAAGCAGAGTGGCCTAGTGTGAAATGACCACCTTGCAGACAGAGACATGACAGGAATGGTTGTCAGCTCTTCGGAGGTTTGGGGGGAGCAGAGAGGATGGAAATGATCAGGGAAAGAAGGCAAAAATCAGAATTCCAGTCTTAGAATTTATCTCAGAGCTGCAATGGGTTCTTCTGCATTCAAGATCTTAATATGAATCTCAACACTGTAGATGGTTTAAATGTGTGCTCCTACCTCTGTTTATCGAGGCAGGTCAAAGAATGAAAGGATGGCATACTTGTGTGCACATCCTCCTCCTCATCCTCTAGAGAGAGAGGAAACTAGAGATAAATAAGACTTGTAGTTCATCCCCTCCATCTCCCTAAGACCACTGCAGGGTCATTCCCCATACCATACTTTCTAGTTCTTTGTCCAGTCTAATTTTAAATGTCCAGGGAAGGGCATCAAAACACCTGTTTTCTTGATCTTAACTACTCCCTGCACCACGTGGCGAGGGGAATTAAAGAGGCAAGACATTGCTCTGCTGAGGACAAGGCTCCAGGTTCGGTACCTACCAAAAAGTAGCTGTTTACTCTCCTGCTCTACTACAAACTAATTTCCCATCATAATCCCCTAATAATAATGTATTTGGGTACTCCTTCCATCCAGTGAGGTGTTCACGGTTTGCACAAACAGCTGACATGTAACCCTGTAAAAAAAAAAAACCCTAACGTTATCCAGGATTTCTCACAATCCCACATGTTAATTAAGAGTGAGCTCCCAGGGCACAAATCATCATCATCATCATCTACACTTGTAATAGCTCCTTTTCACTGTAACAGGGGGATTAGGAGGAGGAGGACAGCTTCTCTATCTAGGAAGAGGAAGGATAGTGAAGTTAAATTAATGCATGCCAGTAAAGTACTTTGACACACTCTGCTAGAGGTGTGGTAAACTGTAGTAATGTCAGTGTGGCTGTTACAATAATGGAACTATATGGGCTCCCTCTGGTGGTCTCTTTATTATAGGAAGATTTGTATTTGTTCCTTCCCCAGATGCTCCTTGGAGCCATGATGTGGATAAGTCAGGGGCTGACTTTGCCATAGAAAACTGCAATGTTTATTTGTCAGCACGTATAAGAGGAATAGTTGAATACAATGGATGTAATTCAATACAATGGTTACAATGTATGTTATTGACAGAACAAATCAGATGTTATGGGCCTGAATTTTCTCTCAATCCTATTAATACAACCTTCTGATTTAGGAGGTAGATGGCCGTAAAAAGCAGAATTCGTATAGCTCTAAAATAATATAGCATATAGCTTTAAAACAAGAATAATACCTATATAACACCCCCACATTGTACTTTCATGTCATGGCATTGACTGCTAATTCAGTTAACTACTTTATTAAATATTCTTGACAAAAGCAACAATACTAGAATGGTTAATCAAAACTAGAGCATTATTTATCAGTAGAATAGAATGCCTCATTCAAGATACAGGAGACACACCTTGTTCCAAAAGTCTGTCAGGAAATGCCAGCAATTCAACACTTTAAGACAATTCCCATGCAGTACACTGTCCTGTCCACTGTTTGGGAGAGAGTGAAGGAGATTATTCATTATCATCTGAAAGTAACATGCAGAGAATTTTAGAAAGATGTAATATTTTTATCTCACCCTTAAAAAAATACAGATAGAAGCTTGAACCTAAAGTCTGCTTCCTTCTTTATTTATTTCTCCTTTATGAATTCACACTGATTTGTTAATGTAAAGTTGATTATGAGCACTGGGTTGAGCAAACTTCTTTATTATTGTAGGGTTGCTCATATTATTTTGTCATTGAAGGGTTAATCTTAAGCACTGGGCTGCTGTAACTACATTTATTCATAATTGGGAGGAAAAGAGTAGTGAATTAATTTTGCAAAAAAAAAAGGCATGGAAAACAATAAAATGGATGTTGAAAACAGATATAAGAAAAACAGACAAGTGTCATTTTGAGCCTCTGAATCTTAAAAGCTTCCTTTCACTAGTAGAGCTGCAAACATCATATGAGGCATGGTAACTTAGTTCACAATTACAGCCTAAATTAATCAAGTCATTCACAACTCAGTAAGTCAGTTATTTCAGATAAGGAAGTCCGCAAACACTGAACATTTATATTAAACAAGAACACTGATGCAGCAAAAACAAGTCCTTATCATCCAAACATTCATTATTATGGCAAAAGCTGTCAGGTGCCATGCCATTAAGTCACAAGAACCTCTGCTGTCCAAATTTGTGCCACTGTACATTTTAGTTTTTGTTCTAGTAGTAGGACTGTAACTTAGATGGGTAAAGCACTGCAGCCTCCTCCTTTAACCTATGCCACAACTGTAACGGACATGTTGCAAAGCTCATCTTTTCTCTTGGGTTGTTCAGGAAGGGAGGATTTGAGGTGGGGTATTATTTTATGGGGTTCTGAACTGTTTATCAGTTTATCTGTGATTTGATGGATTATGTTGGGGAACAGCTTTTAGGCAGTAACTTTTTTATATTAAGAATGTTTACCCTTAGATTTTTGTTTTAGTTATTTGTCCAGGCATCGGAGTTTAGAATAGGTACCTCTGAAAGATTACAAGTAGTAAGTCCTTTGGTTCCAACTGGCCTTCAGATGCAGCCATTCTGAAATTTTCCATGTCTGGAGGTTGCAAGGGGGACCAGAACTAGCTGGGAGATGGTTTCTGGGTGCATTAAGAAGCTGTATCCTGTGGTTTTAAAGAAAGATTATTAGATATTATCTTCCTCACTTGTGTCTTTCAGTAATGAGCCCAGATGTTGGCTCCTCTTTTCAAGAGCAGGCTCTTCCCAAGAAGCAACCAAGAAATCAAATGTGTCTAAGCTTAGGGATGTACAGAAGAAATGGGGGCACTTCCTGGACAGATACTTTTGTCCCCAAAGTACTCAATTCAAGGAAAGCTGCTGTGTAATACAGAAGATAATTCTCTATGCTGCACAGAATAGTGAGGTCATTACACTAAACTACACAGAGGAGCAAACTCTAAAAAGATTAAGAGAAACATACTACTATACTAGGCACTTTACAAGTGTGACAGAGAAATGTTAATGTCTTAAATATAACTAAATAGAATAATTCACAATCAAATGGGAAGCCACCATCTTCACAGTATGATGATATAGAGCAGGACTTGGGAACATAAATCCCAGATGTATTCATAAAAGAGAAGAAGACTTTTTAAGTCCTTCAAAGTTAAAGTATCTTTTAAAAAAATTGGTCTCAATCACTGTAAATTAACCTTCCCCTCTTCACAAAAATATAGAATGCACATTGCATTATCTGTGAAAGGTTTAATAAAAGTTGTGTGGGACTATTATACCCCTTCAGAGGCTCTCAGTAGTGGCAAAAATGCCCATGGCCAGTTTACACTTTGCTCCTAGTCTGTGTCAAGTCTACATCCAAACTGATCAATGCTGCAATGTGTGAAGTCTGCTAAGAGGTGCTAATTGCTACAGTACTTCCCACCTAAACCGACCAAATGGACACAACTGTGATCATTGCATCTGTCCATGGGAAATGTGAGCTGTACCTCCGAATTGCTCTCTGGAATCCTCCCACATACCATCTCTCAGGATTGTGCTCTGTCCATGGTAGCCAGAGAGGTAGCTCATCGCCTTTTTTCATCAGAAAATAGGGAGTTTCCCCAAGATATTGCTTACTCTTTATTCCTTTGCTGTCTCCTGCACATTTAAAGACTGTGGGTCACAATCACCTTTGCTTTGATGAATAAGAAGTGGAGATAGCTTTCTCAAGACCTGACCAGCTCTGCTCCAAACCTCAGCCAGAGCAGGTCATTGGACAGTGTCACACAAGACTTCAAGTCCTCAACATGAGCAGCAATCTTTATATGGTCAGTGTCAGTTCATATTTTTGTTAAGCAGCTGAACTCAAAGGAGTCCCAAATGGCAGGAAGGAGGATGACCTTGTGGTTAAGGCTTGGAGAGCTGGCCTCTATTCATGGCTCTGCAACAAGTTTCCTACGTGACCCTGGAAAAGTCAATTAACCTTTTGGTACATTGGTTTCCAGCTGCAAAATACCCACATCATAAAGCAATTTAAGCTCTGCAAATGAAAAATGCTCTATAATGATTTTAATTCATCTACCTTCTCAGGGTATGTGATTGTGATGCTTAATTCATTCATGTTTGTAAATCACTTTGAGGTCCACAACTGAAGGCCTCTGAGACTGCTAATGTATCGTTTTTCAAAACCTTGGACTCCCTACAATTGCCAAGTGCTGATGCTGACTGGAACTTTGGCTCCTGTGACTTGACTGCACCGTAACAAATCCATTCGGAAGAGAGATTCCTCATTGTATTCCCACATACCATGAATATGGAACCTGAAGGTTGTTTTTTATTTTAGTAAGAATGAGACCGAGATACAGAATAACCCATTTTAGTGTAGGAAAATGCAGCGAAGGAGAAAGATTCCTGCAATGACATGAGGCAGTCCCAGAATCTCCATCTCACGCTGGGACCTTCCTAGCATTGTTCCTATTGTCCCAAACTCCTTTTTTGGGAGGGAAAGTGTCAGGTCAAATTAAGTCTAGAATTTGGGGGTTTGTGATTTTAACGTAAGTTTTACTAAATTTAATATCGATATAATGATCTTAAAAAGAAACAATAGAAGGAGTTTGTTTGTATTTAACTCTTCCTCTGCAGTGACTGCAGCCCAGTCATTAACACCACTGTGATAGTGCATAACAGTCTGAAAGTGAAACTAATAAACAGAAGTTAAATTCACAATTATATTTTAATTGCCCAGGAAATAATTTCCCATTTATATTCAAAAGGTACTGGTAGGTCAAAATAGAGCCCAAACTTGGGATTAGAAAAAGTTCAGTTTTACAAAACCTAACAAAAATATTTCCATGATTATTTTTATTATTGCTGCAAAGAACAAAGTTTATTTTAAAGAATAATATTCCTTTCCAGCATCTTTGTAATAGAGATGAACCAGAAAGTGAAATTATAGGAAACAATGATGAATTTGACTAGTCTAGGTTCATTATTTATTTTTTGCAAATCAGCAAAAGAACAAATGGATATAAAACTGGCCATGAACAAACTTAAGGTGGAAATTAGGTGGTTTCTAACCATCAGAAGGGTGAGGTTCTGGAACAGCCTCCCAATAGGAGTTGGGGGTGCAAACAACGTAATTAGTTTAAGGGAGAGCTGGACAAATTTATGAGAACTGTATAATAGGATTGCTTGTGATGGTGGGAGTAGGTCTCACTTCTGGTTTATGGCATATGTTCCTGAAGCTCATGTGTCTGGGTTTCAGCTGGGAACTGACAGGTATCAGGAAGGGATTCTCCCCCTTCCCCAATGTATTCTGTGAGGATTTTTTTATCTCCTTCCTTTGAAGCATCAGGGATGGCTGGAAATGGGACATCAGTGGGGTGGGCCAGAGCTCTGAGGTGGCACCAACTCCAAGCATTCTCTTTCTCAAGTGTTTGGCTGACTGATTCTTGCTCATATGCTCAGGGTCTAACTGATCGCCATATGTGGAGTTGGGAAGGAATTTTCCCACAGGTCAGATTGGCAGTCTTCTGTGGATCCTAATACTTAGGTCTCATTTGAGTTTCATGGTGTTGGTGTGATATACAGGAGGTTGGACTAGGTCCCTTCTGACCTTAAACTCTATGAAATTATTTCAAGTTTTAGCTAAAATGTAACCCAGGTCAGGAAACACATCATTTTTTAACCTGAAAGAATCCTTTTAATTGAAGTTATATTTTTCTACACACAAAGAGAATGCATGCACCATTAACCTACATTCCAAATCAGGATTGTCATTTCAAAAAATAATTACATTACTTTTCTATTTTTCCCTAAATGCTGAGGAGCACCTTAGATCAGACAGGTTACAAAGTAGCAGCCGTGTTAGTCTGTATCCGCAAAAAGAAGAGGAGTACTTGTGGCACCTTAGAGACTAACGAATTCATTTCTGTCCGTGTGTTCCACTCTATGCATCTGAAGAAGTGAACTGTAGCCCACAAAAGCTTATGCTGAAATAAATGTGTTAGTCTCTAAGGTGCCACAAGTACTCCTGTTCTTTCTTTAGACCAGACAGAAACTTTAAATGTTTCCCTTTAAAGTTTTCCACCCACAGTTGTTTGATCAGAATGTGAACTCTCTTTGTCTAGACGTTGTCCAATCTTCTCTTTATTTTGTTGTATGTTTGAGACAACAAATACAAACATTCTTAAAATAAAAATACATTTTCAGTCTGAATTATTTATTTTAGTTTAAGGAAAACACCCCATGAAAGAACAGCAAGAACACTATGGCTGTTGTCTCTGCACACAGAGGTCCTAGAGATATAAAGGTGCAGTGCACAGAACACGAGGGGATTGCAGTTTCATAGCTACATACATCACAGCTGGGTTTTGTAATGACAACAAAAGCTTTCCAAACTTACAATTGGGGCTCAGACTACAGTATGCTGGGCCTTTAACCAGGCTGAAGCTGTGATCCAGGACCTCAGGTTAGCCATGTTAACTTTACTTGTGTATTCTGCCCTGTGCCAAGGGGAGGAGGTGCTTTCTGGAGCAGAGTCATCTGAAACAAAGGCAAACTATTAGTGAAAATCCCTGCTGAAGGACTGACCCAGCAATCCACTGATGATTTGTTGTCAGAAGCAGCCCTAGGAGTTTTGCTGGCGAGGGCAGAAAATGTTTTTAGTGCCCCCTATTGTGGCCAAAGAAAACAAACAAACACCAAAGAAAAACAGATGGCCAATCAGCCGAATGGAGAAAAAAAAATACCACCAAAACCCTCGGAACTTGCCGGTAAGGGCAACCACCTTCCTTGCTCATCCCTAGAATTGGCCCAGCTTGTTGTGTTGTCATAATGGGGATCCATTTTGGAAAGGAGCTTTGTCCTTTGCTGACTCAATGTGTAAGTGAACCTCTACAGAGTGAGGCTTGGGAAGCCCCCAAAGGGAAGGGAGTGCCCCAGGTCACTCTGCAGCATCACCTTTGGTCAGTCCTTGGGCTGTGGAGGGAGCTCCATCCAGCCGTCCTCATCTTGGGCCTTAGAGGGTAACATATAAAAGGGAGACAAATGTGGGGGAAAGAATCTACAAAGACCCCCTCAGTAAAACATTATGGTTAAAATCCTCCCCTCTCTGATCCCACCGGGGAAACAAACATTCATTCCCAGTCAAGATGGCACAAGCTATAAAATCAGTATTGGGAGATTAGACTATTACAAGTTGATAATTTTAATTATGCCTTCTGTTAGCCAATCAGAGCAGATACATTAATTCACAGGTGTTAAGGTGAAAAGGGACCATTATTAACATCTAATCTGACTTCCCATACAACAGTGGCCAGAGAATTTGACCAAGTGATTCCTGCATCAAGCCCATACCTTTTGGGATTAACTAGTGCATATATTTTAAAAAGACATCCAACAGTTGGGAGTAGATTCCTCAATCAGGTTAGTATCGATAGGGATAGAACTATGGTGTTGATAAATGAAGTCACTGTGGGTGGCACTCATAGGGAGGAGGAGGAGCAGTTGTTGGCAAGCCAGGAACCTTTAGAAGTGCACCAATACCCAGAACACAGCTTGCGTGTTTATTTTGTTTGCCTGCTTAGATTGTAAGTTCAGTGGGGCAGGCCCCATGTCTCCTTTATAAAGAGTACACACTGAGAGCCCTCACCAAATGAATAATAAAGGCAGTAGGTTCCAATGAAGAGAAATGGGGACAGGTAAGTGCCAATGTGGGGAACTGGCTCAGCAGTCATTTAGTGCCCCAGCCTGTCCCACTGAAGTCAATGGGAGCCCTTTGAGAGTATGGGAGATCTTGGAATATTAGAATAAATCCAGAGGTTGTACTTGATGCCTGGGGTGTGGTGCACAAAGATTGGCCAAGCTCCTGAGGCCACTAATTTCCAACCCAAAGGTTTTGGTGGGGCTTAGCCCCATGCTTCCTCCAGCCTATCCCTGCTCTTAAACCAATAGGGCCAAGAACCAGTCAGACTTCTCCGCGCTCACTTTCTCATTCAATTTTATTTCTATTTCTCTCTTCTATCTATCTCCCATCCTGGCTTTTTCTCTGTCCATTCCTTTTACTCTCCTTTTCTCTTCTGCCTCCCTACCTTTGCCCCCCCCCCCCTGCACTTTGTGAACTGCTGCTGCAGTGCTGAAGTCCAAAGTTCAGTAACTTGCTAAGCACACGGATAAATATGAACCTTGGAGAATTTACACTGCTCCAATGTAAACAGATAGCCAAGGGTCCCTTTATCAGCACTGGCTCAGGACAGTCGTGGGGGGTCTGAAGTGGCTCATTTTTGTATTTTGTTTTTTGGGGGGGTGCAAAGGGGGAATCTATGCCATTCCCACTCTGCTGACAGTCGGGCGTGTTACCTCAGGAACATGGTGTAGGGAAGGCTGAAGGCAGAACGTGCTGAAACTCAAATCCAAGGGACACCAGACTGAAGACCATGGTCTCTAAGCTGAGTCATCTTCAGGTGGAGCTGCTGGGAGCACTGCTGGAGTCAGGGCTAACCAAGGAGACCCTGATCAAAGCGCTCGGGGAAGTGGACCCCTACGCCCTCCAGAGTGAAAGCCAGCGTGCCATCAGTGCCATCCAGGCAGAAAAAGGGGAACCCTGTGCTGAAATTCCCAATCTGCCCAATGGGATGGAGGAATCCAGGATGTCCGAGGAGGAAACCTCTGACGATGGGGAGGAATTCACCCCTCCAATAATGAAGGAGCTGGAAAACCTGAGTCCAGAGGAGGCTGCTCACCAGAAGGCTGTGGTGGAGAGACTATTACAGTAAGAACATGGTTTTCCTTTCCCCTTCTTGCTCTCCGTTCCTTTATTTCTCTTTCCTTCACCTCTTCCCTGAAATATGTTAGGGATTACAGTTGATCTAAGCGTGCAGAGATTCTCCCCATCAATGCCAGCCCCAAAACCCACTGAACTGACAAGCTTCATGTTCCTTAATAATGTTCAGTTTCCTTCCAAAGACATTTCAAACATACGCACACACAAAGTGCCATGGGGCCCAATTACATATTAAAAGTGCTAATATCATCTGGGAAACAAGGACTTCAGAAAAATCTGGGAGCTGTACAACTTCTGTCGCTTTAGCTGTCTGTCAGTTTTTACAGAAGCCACCACTTCAGTGGTTAGAAAAAAATAAGAAAATAAGTCGTCATATTAACTTCCATCATGTAATGTGGGGATTCTCATCATAGGAGGGAAAAATACTCCTAAGTTCTCTTGCCATTTTTACAGAGATGTATATTGTTATTTTACTGACTTTAGCTAGAGTCAAGTATTTGTCAGTAGAGACAAATTGTCTTTGTGCAGGTAAGACTCCCACTGATTTCAGTGGGAATTTCAGATGAGGGAGTGCCAGCCAAATTGGTTGGCAATCCAGGTCAACATACCCAATGCTTCTATCCTCCATCTCCCATCATGAACACTGAATATAGACCATGTGCAGTCTACGGACTACTGTTTTATGACTTGCCTTAACATGCAATTATTTAGTCTTAATAGCCAAAAAAGTATGAGTTTCCCGAACCATTCACTCTCACTCCAGTAAACCCATAGACAGAATCAGAATTGTGCTCCTGCAATTCTAACTCAGCGACATGAATCCTAGGGATTCCAATGGCTGGTCTGCCTGAGCAAGGACTTCAGGATATCGCCCTTCAAATCCACCTAACACAATTAAATCCTTAGCCACAAAATCTCATCTGTCTGCACTGAAGCTATTCTCCAAGATTAGGAGCAGACAGGAGGCACAGGGTGACTACGATGTTCTGGAGACTCAAACCGGTACTTACAATCTTTTATGGGAAAATTAAACTGCAGTTAGAGGATTTACCGGCTTTGTGGCCATTCCTTTTTATGGGGAAAGGATATTAATACAAAACATAACAAGAAAAAGTATGCGCAAAACCCCACCAATAGCCCCAAGATAGAGAGATAGCACAGTACTTAAGGGTTAAATATTCACTGTAATATTTAAGAGGGGATGGTTCTATTGCCTGACCTCTAGAGAGTCTGGGCAGATTTGGAGCTGATCACATTACAGTAGCTGAAGGAAGAAAATACACTGGAACAGCACTTACCTGAGAGGAAAGATGCTCCCCATAATTCAATCTTCTTTTCCATCCAATAAACCCCTTTCCCTTCTCTGCCTTTTAATTTTGTCCCCCTCCCTCTTTCTTACACCCTTGCTGTTTCCAACTCCCCTGTTCTATATCTGTTTTCCTCAGATCCTCCTTTTCTATCCCCCCCCCCAACTTCTCTCTGTCTCTCATCACCCTATTTCTATGTCTGCCTGTCTGTCTCTCTTTCACATTGCTTTTACCCATCTCCTTCTCTCTCTCTTCTCCCTAAGCCTGTGTAGAGATCTTGGGGCAGTTTGAGCTCCAGTTGCACCGGGCGGGCCCTGGCTAGTTACTAATTATCCAATGGCTTTATTATTTCTCTTTTGTCTTATAAATTTATAAACGAAAAGACCCTGATAAGCTTTTTGATCATTAACTTCTGATGATTTATCAGGTGTCTCTCCATAGAGAAAGCCATGGAAGCTAGAGAAGAGCACCTGGCTTTATCCCCTCTTTAATGAATGGATCATGCAGGAATTAAACTCCATCCACTGTGCTCTGGTAAAGAGAATTTCACAACTGGAGGGAATTCCTATCCAGGAGTTGGGGATCCAGTGTGGTCCTTCACCCCCACATCGCCCTTCACCTTGGCATAAACTCTGGTTTCTGATCTTCCCCATCTTTCCAGTTGCCCTGTGGTTTCTGTCAGTTTCAGCACAAAACTAATTTCTATACCACATTTTTACAGTAATGCTTTGCACTTCATCAGCATTTTCTAACTGAGGATCTCAAAGCTCTTTACACACTGTGAATGAGACATCATCCTCATTTACAGATGAGGAAACTAAGGCACGGAGAGGTTAAGTGCCTTAACCATGGTTACATGGGAAGTTGGTGGAAGAGCTGGAAATAGAACCATGATCTTCTCTCTTAACCACAAGGCATGGAGCATATTGACCCAAATCCATTAAAAATGTCTCCTAAATGGGGGCAGTGGATAGATAGGTCTGATAAAAATCTTTGCCTTTCTGCACAATTTTAAAAAGCAATTGTGTGTTTGGGGAAGTAAATTAAAAACATCTGGGTCAATATCAGAGACCGATAATGGGCAAGCAACAACTAAGAAGCCCCTTCAGGAAAGAAGCCTTCTTTTAATAGAAGAAGGCCTGATGGGCATGTCCTTAAAATAATAATTTATATTATATATAAATAATCCTAAATAATGTAGGTGTTTTTGAAAATGTCTCAATTCACTTGACAAAGGAACAGGATTGGAGATGTGGTAAGAAGTCAATATTATACATAGTACAAAATGGTGTATTATAGAAATCACTTCCCACCAGCTGGGACACAAGGTAGGAGAGCAGCCTTGATCACCTAGCACAACGGCATGCAGAACAGAGCTTCCCTACTTGCAAATTGATGGTTGCTCAAAAACCTGAGTGCATGATTTTGTGGTATTCAAATACATAGGCACTATGAAAGTGCAGAAATCTCCTTATGTGTTACCAGCAGTTTTCAGACTATTGTAGACCATATCTCAATCAAAAGATTGTCTCATGGACACCTCACCTCCTGTTCATAGTCACAGTAACTTACTTGCTTACATGGGAAAGTAACATAGGAAAATTTTTAATGTATTTCTGTGCTTTTGATGTACTGCCTGCTAACAAGGAGAAAAAGCACAATGTGACCAGTCACCTTTCTGCAGACCATTAGTATGTGCTCTGTGAAACACTAGTGATCCTGCGAAGCAGTTTGTGAACCACTGTATTACACTGAATGAATCCAGTATGGAAGCAATTGCTCCCTTACATAGCTCTAAGTTCATTTGCTGGAGTCCATTACCCTTTGCCCCTACAGAATACACTGAGTATGCAATCCACAGGGAGGTTTCCTTAGTGAGGAGCTAGTGGGGCAGCCCTTCACCCACTACACTGTGAATCCCAGAAGAGAGTTAAGGGATGGGATTTTCAAGAGTACCTCAGTGATTCAGAAGTACAAGTCTCATTGCTCTTCCATGGGACCCACAATCCTAAATAATGTAGGTGTTTTTGAAAATGCCTCAATTCACTCCATAAAGGACAGAACTGGAGGGAGAAGTCAATAGTAAATTAATTAATTTGTGGGGGGAGGCTATGGGGGCAATTATTAGTTATTTCCTATGGAGAAGATAGAATACAGATTGTCTTTGGTGGGGGACAGGGGAAGGCGCAGACTTCAATCGGTGAGGGGTATGCGGCGGATGTATGAGAAGTCAGGATAAGGGCTGCTGTTCCCTGTGGGTAGGTATAGCAATTTTTCCTTCTAGGGCAAAGGGTAGAATTCCACAAGGAAAGAGGGAGGTTGAGATGCTAAGATTTTCTAGGCATATTTTCTGAAGAGGAAACAGGGAGATGTAGAGGTAAAAGGCCCAGCCCTTTCCCCCAGGGAGCTAGTTGCTGAGGGGCCCTGAGATTAAGCTATAACACCCCTTTTATGTCAGCATCTGATTGTATAGGCCAAGCTAAGGCAAACCAAGCAAAGTTCAAATGAAAACAACCATGCTGAGGTTAGTCTTACCTTCCCTGCTCTCTGCCTATCTCAGGTCCAGTCTGTGCATTGAAACCGGCGATAGATGTCTGGCAGTCGTCAATTAAAAGGACTGGTGGGATGATCCTGAGCACTTCAAAGCTCTGGGCCTCCTTTGAACTCGTTTCCAGTTCAAACCACAAGGAATTCAGAACCTGCCTCCAAGAGATCAAATCAGATCTTTGGCACAAGGGAATCTGAAAAGGATCAGATTATGCTGCCCTGAGAGGTGGTGGAGAATAAAGGAAAGAGGATGGACAGAAAGAGGACAAAAAAAGGGAGAGAGAGAGAAAGATTGGGAAGAAAAAATCAGGAAGAGTGAAGGAGAGAGAAGGTCCCTTGAATGTTACATCCCCAGCTCTCTGGATTGGGTTTTCTTTAATGCTAACAACTTGATATTTACTTTCCATTTAAATTTGAGATGTTGCTATAAATTATCAACTAGCCTCTTGTTCCCTTTGAGTTTATAACTAACTACCTGGGTTACTTATTGTTCAAGTAACAAAAGGGAGGTGAATACGCCCTCAAAAAGCAACCTCACAACTGAGGAAAGGAGCAGCTGGAATGGAAGAGATAGGACCCCATGCCCCAGAGGTTGTATAGGGCCAGGGAGAGAGCCTATGCTCAGGAGACAAGGAGAAGCTGAAGGCAAGAGACCAGGACCTAGAAGATGAGAAGGAAAGAGTAAAAGTCTATTATCTGAAGATAAGGAAAATCTGGAGATAGACCCTGAAGAATGGTAAAGCAATGGGGGTAAAGTTTGTACTTGGGAAGAATGGAAAGCTGAAGCCAAAATGAGGCAGGAAGTGGTCAGATGTTGAACAAGGCTGGGACCTTTTTGCCGTCCTGATTTACTAAATTAATTGGGCGTTTTGCCCAAGTAAGGTGAGCAAGATTGGGCCTGGGGTGAAATCCTACTCCGACTGAAGGCAAAGAGAGTTTTGCCATTGACTTCAGTGGGGCAAGGATTTCACCCCTGGTGTTTGTGTCTATGGTGAAGGTCTCTGCAGGTGGCACAATGAGGATAAGTGATAGTCTGTGAGAGTGTTCAACTGACCTAGCAACACACACAGCCTGCTCTGCAGTATAACCTAGGGTCACGAGGTCTCTTTACACAGGAATTAAAGCTTTGGCTTTGACAGTACATGTGCACACAGTTAAGGCATCATCTATGCTACACCATGAAACCACCCTTTACCCGTGTTAGGGGACATCCGTGCTGTAAACAGCTCCCAAGTGCAGATGCACCTCAGTGGTTTGAGCATTGGTCTGCTAAACCCAGGGTTGTGAGTTCAATCCTTGAGGGGGTCACTTAGGGATCTGGGGCAAAAAATCTGTCTGGGGATTGGTTCTGCTTTGAGCAGGGGATTGGACTAGATGACCTCCTGAGGTCCCTTCCAACCTTGAAATTCTATTATTCTAATTGTAGACACACCTTGGGAATGTGTTTCTACCTTGGCACCCCATAGTGTTCTAAACTATGAAAGAGTGTGAGTCTCATCCTCTCCCAAGTACCTCCCCACTCCTTCCTGACAGAGAGAGCTGGGGATTCTGATAAGAGAGAGAGAGGAAGTAAGTGGCTCAGATGCCAAGTGGGAAGGAAGTCAGTATGTTATAGAAGCGTCTATGGGTGATCATGAATCCCCCTCCCTTTCTTCACTAGCTGACCCAGAAACATGATCTGAAAGACAGGGCAGAAGCCTTGCCCTTGAGCATCTTCTAATCTATCACTGTACAACAGAATCCTGGGGCTGTTGGGTATCTCTTTAAAGAAGGAAAGTGCCCAGGGCTCAGCTGCAGGCTAGATTCATAGAGGCTGAATTAAGAGAGACCACAATAAGGAGGAGATTAGTCCTCGTCTCAAGAGGTAGTAGAGCAAACACCAACTGCTTAAAGCTCAGGAATGGGGAAAAATAGGCTAGATGGGTTGCCCTAATTTGGGGGTCTTTGAAGAGTACAAGGGGAGAGGGTGGAAAATGGAGCATTTTGGCACAGCTCCACCATCAGAGAACCACCAGTGGTGCCATTTTAAGAAAAGAGATTTCTCCCCGTCTCAGCCTCCTGCCACACTTTAACTGCAGTTGAGCTTGCTCCTTGGACCGTCTGGTTGCTGTGGAAGAGGCTGCAGCAGGAACAGAGATAAGGGTGTTTGCGCTGAGAGAACAGGTGCGGACTTTGTCCTTCTTATCGCCTTTCAGCCTCTGACAACCCACAGAGTCAACAAAGCAGCTAGTACACAGGCTGCTCTCGCCCTCCACCCCCAACTGTCCTGCTGTATTTTCCCCAGAGTCCTGGGTATTTTTCTCTTATTCCACCCACCTGCTACTGGTATTCGGAGAGGACATCAACATTATCTATACCGTGTTGGGATCACATCCAGTCCAGTCAGTCCCTCAGGCATTTCACATTAGAAACACAGAGGGCAGCTCCATGTTACATCTGCAAAGAAATCATACATTTCCTCAACACAGGGGTTGTCCATGTTTGGTTCTAAACTGCTTGGTTCACATCTTCCAAGTTCTACTGAGTTTCAGGTTCAGTCAAACCCAAACCAGTCACCGAAATTCAACCACAATCCCCTTAGTCAGCCCCATGGTTACTCAAATGCTCAGGAACCTTATCAGACGTTCTGATAAACCTTATCAGATTTACAACTATTATGAAATTCCCAAGGTCAGTTTACTACTTTGGGTTTTTTTTCATGCAGTTTTACACTTCTTGGCTTGTACAGTGCAGTGGTTGGGATTGTAAATACGTGTTCATTTTTTTTCTCTAAGTACATAGATGCAAAATGGAAAATTTGAAAGAGCAGATGTGTGCTTATCAATATGTGTATATGTAAAGTGCCATATGTGTAAGGACATGTGGGTGGTGTATATGGTCGGTGTCTGGGTACAGGAGTCTCACATGCATGAGTATATATTGTAGAATCATGTAATGTTATTTTGGGTTTGGAGCTCCACTCTCTCTTGGCGGCTCTGCTGTGGGTTACCCCAAGCTGGATCAGAGCCAGAGTCAGAGTGCGAGTCCAAGTGAGGATCAGTCGGTCTGATATTAAAGTGAACCCAGTTTAGGAAAGTACATTACGTTATCTGTGAGCACACATCCCCCACAGACAGGGAAGCAGAGAAAAAGAGACCCACCTCCTGAAACTGAAAAGCAGAGCCCAGAACATACAGCATTGTGAGAAATGGAACCCTGAAATATGGGACATCCTCTGCTCCACCCCTCATCCCTCTCCCGCTGCTCCAGAGGTGACAGGCTCTTGGTCAGAATTGAGCTACATAGGAAGGATGGCATAGAGGAAACCGTCACCACTGCTACTCCAAGGAGTTCAGTCTCCAGGGCTATCAAAAATACTCATTAAAAGATTTAGGCAAGTAAGTCGTTTAGCTTGGAGGTTAGGTCAAACCACTGCATAGAGTGTCACACTGAACAAAAGATTTCCTTGGAGAGATGAACGGTTATTATGCAGCATACTAAATCTATCCTACCTGCCTCATCAAAGGCAAAGCGTGAACAGAGGATTCACCTCTCTCATTGCTTCTGGTGCCCACACTTCATGCAAGAAGTGCTGGCTGACATTCCTTGAATCCCTTCTGTGCAACCTGGATACACAGACAAGAATTCTATCTTTAATGAGGTGCATTTTCTGTTCCTTCTAGAGAGGATCCCTGGAGAGTAGCAAAAATGGTGAAATCCTACCTCCAGCAGCACAACATCCCTCAAAGGGAGGTGGTGGACACTACGGGTTTAAATCAGTCTCACCTCTCACAGCACCTCAACAAAGGCACACCCATGAAGACCCAGAAGAGAGCTGCCCTCTACACCTGGTATGTCCGCAAGCAGCGAGAGGTGGCCCAGCGTAAGTACAGCAACAGCAAATCTCTCCTAACTCTAGTGTCCTATAGCTCCCCCTACCCTCATCTGCAGTGTGGAAGGCATGGGAGGGAGGCCCTTTCTAGCAGTAAGGTTAGACAAGTCCATGTCACCATTCCACACGGGTGGCCAAATTGCACAAAGGAGCCTGCAGCCACCCACTTCTTTAAAGGTGGAGAACAGGCTATAGCTCTCATCTATCGGTATATCCAAGTGGAGGCATCGACTTGGACCAAGATGGGGCACTCCCAACGAAGTGCATTTATGTAAGCACAGACAGCATAGCTGATCACCAGCAATGATAGAACCCAGGACCTTCAGCACCAGAAAAGAGTTTTCTGCAATTTCATCTAAAGAAGTAATTCCTTTAGCCATGAGTAAGTAGCAGGCTGTAGCTCTGGGGTCAGCCATTAGTGGGATATCATCTCTCACACATACTAAGCCAGCGTGTTACAAATACATGCTTAAAACAATAGCCTTTGCAACCTCCACATGAACGAATGTGGCTGTAATCGGTTTCATTTTATACATAATAGATGGGCCCCTAGTAAAATTAATAACTTCGCCTTTAGTGGGGCCTAGAGGGTTGGACTCTACATGAGCTGCATCCACCCCAGCTCCTGCTGCTTGTTCTGTTTCACTGCTTCACACTAGGAATCAAGTTGCAACATGTCCGATGGGCCCATTGGGGATGGTCTTACCCATTTTAGACAAATATAGAGCTTTATTTAAATCTCATCTAGATTTTCCACCTGCATTTGTTCAATAGTAGGAGACGCTGAGTGAGGATAAGCTGCTCTGAGACAGCTGAATTCCAAGAAAGAGAATGTTACAAAAACATCCTATCAGCAAGCAAAGCCCCTTGCCCATTTGTGTTTCCAGAGTTCACCCATGCTGGTCAGGGACTCGTGGCAGAGGAGCCCATGGGAGATGACCTGCCCACCAAGAAAGGGAGAAGAAACCGCTTTAAGTGGGGTCCTGCCTCACAACAGATCCTATTCCAAGCTTACGAGAGACAGAAGAACCCGAGCAAGGAGGAGAGAGAAGCATTGGTGGAGGAGTGCAACAGGTGAAGGAGGGTCTCCAGTGTTGATGGAGGAGGGGAAAAAGAGAGGGATGGAATAGGCCTTTGTGTGCTCTTGCTATACTGCCAGAAGCCATACTCTGCTCTGTGTAAGGGCAATGGGGTAGCAGTGGATTGAGATCTCCTATTGTTCTTTCTTTGGGATACAATTTGCAAAACGTTGTGTAGTGAAATCCCAATACACAGACAAAGTAAGAGAATGATTGGCTAGAGCCAGCTATAGAACAAGCTTCCAGCACTGAACTCTCACTGCCTGTTATTCCAGTCCTGGGCTCCAACAACGCTCTACCTCTCTAACCACTGTACAGAACAGCCTGCTCATCTTGCCCTGGGCCTCTGCTTACAGGGTGACCCGGCCTGATGGCATGCATACAGACATCAAAGTCATGAACACACCACACACCCACACAGACCTTTGGCTGTGGAGCGTGCCTCCCTCCCCCCCAACTCCATGAGTGCATCATCGAGGTGCTGGGGTTATGGAGACCCTGCCTGGTCACAGGAGCCACCGTAGCACATATTAGATGATTAGGGAGTCAACCCAGAGCTATCAATCATTCAACAGTGCTCCAGCTCACCAAACAGAAAGAAAAAGTGTTTCCTAATGCAGCTATGAGATCACCAAGGCCCTTCCTGTGCTCTCTCCTGACAGGGCAGAGTGCATTCAGCGTGGCGTCTCCCCATCCCAGGCCCAAGGTCTGGGCTCAAACCTGGTCACCGAGGTGAGAGTTTATAACTGGTTCGCCAACCGTAGGAAGGAGGAGGCTTTTCGGCACAAGCTAGCCATGGATACCTACAGTGGGCCGCAGCCCAGTTCTGCTCCCCCACTGACCTCTCACAACTCTTCCTCCCTTCAGCCAACGCCTGCTATCTCGCCAAGCAAAGTCCATGGTGAGTACTGACTACAAAGCGGGAGTTTTAGAACAGGAGACCGGTGAGCCTGCAAGTTCAGGCACCAAGGCCATTTCGAAGCGTGTCCCTTCAGAAGCTGATCAGTAGATGGGAGAGCCAAACTGATGTGGGGTTTACACAAGATGAGAGTGTAGGTGATAAAGGGATATCTTCGCATCCACGAGATGAGGGGAGAAGGGTGACTTTAAAAAAGGGAAGGAGGAGGATCTGGGGAACTACAGGTCAGTCAGCCTCACCTCAGTCCCTGGAAAAATCATGGAGCAAGTCCTCAAGAATCAATTCTGAAGCACGTAGAGGAGAGGAAAGTGATCAGGAACAGTCAGCATGGATTCACCAAGGGCAAGTCATGCCTGACTAACTTAATTGCCTTTTATAAGGAGATAACTGGGTCTGTGGATGAGGGGAAAGCAGTGGACGTGTTATTCCTTGACTTTAGCAAAGCTTTTGATACGGTCTCCCACAGTATTCTTGCCAGCAAGTTAAAGAAGTATGGGTTGGATGAATGGAACATAAGGTGGATAGAAAGATGGCTAGATCGTCAGGCTCAACCGGTAGTGATCAATGGCTCCATGTCTAGTTGGCAGCTGGTTTCAAGCGGCATGCCCCAAGGGTCGGTCGTAGGGCCAGTTTTGTTCAATATCTTCATTAATGATCTGGAGGATGGCGTGGACTGCACTCTCAGCAAGTCTGCAGATGACACTAAACTGGGAGGAGTGGGGTAAATATGCTGGAGGGTAGGGATAGGATACAGAGGGACCTAGACAAATTAGAGGATTGGGCCAAAAGAAACCTGATGAGGTTCAACAAGGACAAGTGCAGAGTCCTGCACTTAGGACGGAAGAATCCCATTCACTGCTACAGACTAGGTACCGAATAGCTGGGCAGCAGTTCTGCAGAAAAGGACCTAGAGGTTACAGTGGACGAGAAGCTGGATATGAGTCAACAGCGTGCCCTTGTTGCCAAGAAGGCTAACGGCATTTGGGGCTGTATAAGTAGGGGCATTGCCAGCAGACCGAGGGACATGATCGTTCCCATCTATTCGACATTGGTGAGGCCTCATCTGGAGTACTGTGTCCAGTTTTGGGCCCCACACTACAAGGAGGATGTGGGAAAATTGGAAAGAGTCCAGCAGAGGGCAACAAAAATGATTAGGGGGCTGGAGCACATGACTTATGAGGAGAGGCTGAGGGAACTGAGATTGTTTAGTCTGCAGAAGAGAAGAATGAGGGGGGATTTGATAGTTGCTTTCAACTCCCTGAAAGGGGGTTCCAAAGAGGATGGATCTAGACTGTTCTCAGTGGTACCTGATCACAGAACAAGGAGTAATGGTCTCAAGTTGCAGTGGGGAAGGTTTAGGCTGGATATTAGGAAAATCTTTTTCAGTAGGAGGGTGGTGAAGCACTGGAATGGGTTAAACTAGGGAGGTGGTGGAATTTCCTTCCTTAGAGGTTTTTACGGTCAGGCTTGACAAAGCCCTGGCTGGGATGATTTAGTTGGGAATTGGTCCTGCTTGGAGCAGAAGGTTGGACTAGATGACCTCCTGAGGTCCCTTTCAACCTGATATTCTATGATTCTATGAAGTGGAGTGAAGAGGACATTGGAATCTCAATGCTGAGGGAGTGCCTTACAGTCAGTTCTCATTCATTGCTCTGTCACAGCCCCCTATTGATGAACAGTAGTCAGTAATCCCTATTTCAAGGGCTCGCCTGTTAGGTTGTCTCAGAGGTTAATTGTATACCCTTTCTTCTCACACACATGGCTCCCTCTTTGGGAGCCTCCAACTGCCACAAGTCAGAGACACAAACATTCTTGGCTGAATTGTTAGGAGTTAGGGAAAGTAACCCTCTGCGGCCTCAGCAACACAAAACAGACTGTCAGTTTTTATAAGCACTGAAAGAAGAATGGCATCTTTGCCTCCTTTCTCTGTGGTAGCCAGATGAACAAGCAACAAGTACCTGTATTCAGCAAGCTCACTTTTCTAATGCTCAGGTGCTTTGTCCTTTCTCATGTTTCTAGGCAAAAGTCCTTGAGATGCCAGTGTGTTAGTGAAGCAGTATCAATGATCATTTATCTCCAGGGCTGCAAGAGACACTGCAATTAGAGCACAAGTGCAAACTCCCGCTCTGAGCAGGGAAGGGAATAAAGCTGCTACCTAAACAGGTCCTCAGTGCTAGAGCAGGAATTTAATGGTGGAAATTCCATCATCCCTCTCAGAGTAAGAGGTTGCTAGCAATCTCCCTTGACACAATAGAATAGAGAAGGACTTCCACTTAAAAGGCTAAAAGGAAGAATTCCCCTCTCCCTTTGACAGGTGGTGGTCTCTCCAAGGAAGGATTTGGGTCTATTGGTGAGGCCAGGGAAGCCCAGGATTGAGTGAACCTGGAAGACTTTCCCTCTCACTTTGTGGTAGATGCTATCACTCAAACTCCCTTCCCTTCTATATTTACTCCCAGGAAGAATTTCTAACCAACTTAGCTACACAGCTTTTCCCCCACGGCGATACTCGGCCCTGCACAAAGCCGGTACATTAGGAGATGACTTGTCCAAGGCCACCCAGCAAGCTACTGGGAGGATTAAAATTTTAGTGTGTTCTTGGTTTCCAAGTACCATGCTCAGTCCACATATGCCTCTCAGCTCTGAAACAGCACCAGTGAAGGAGGGCTGCCTCAGTGCACCTGACAAAGGCCTACAAAGGGAATTGAATTTATTGCTTGTCCTAATTTACTAGATCAGCCTCATCTGTGGGAACCAAGTCTCTCCTTTTCTGACATAGGAATGAGGTACAACCAGCAGCCAGCCAATGAGGCAGAGTCTTCCAGCAGCAATCATCATGGGAACAGTTCCATGGTGACCACCCAAACCATTCTTCATCAGGTCTCTCCCCCTGGACTGGAGCCAAGCCAGAACCTGTTGAGCACAGACACTAAGCTGGTGAGTGACATATACCCTAGTCCTGGTGATTCCATGATGTCAGGGAATCAAAGAAGGATCCCTGGGTTTCCAGAGGACAATATTCAGAAATTATATTTTCCAGAATGCTGTTAACTCCCCACAGCAGTACCAAGTTCAAAAGCATTCTTAGGATTCTCACACCATGCCACCTAGTGGTGGGGGTGGGTACTGGGAGCATGAAGACTGAGTAGGACTACCCTATCCCGTTACTGCCCTGGGATTAATCAAAACAGTATGGTACACCTTTCAGTAGGAAAACAGGGCCCAAGACATCTAATGACACACATGTTTACCTGCCCATCCCAAAAGGTCTGTTCCTCTCCCACTGATCAGATTCCTTCCATTACCACTCACGTTTGATTGAACTCCACACTCAGCAAGATAGCTGAAAAGAATCCAATGGGACTAACAAAACAGGGACCTGTTACCTGCCCTGACCCATTTGTAAAAGTTAGGTGCAACAGACCCAGTTTGCACAGAATTCCTACCAATAGATCTTGTACAGTAAATCTGGATTGTACCAGCCTAATCATATTCATCTTGAGGCAGATCTCCTTTGGATATCTTTCATTAACTAAGCCTCCTCCCATGTGGTTTGTATCACTACGCTAAGATTATACGATTGATCATTCTTGGCTGGTTTGCACAGTTCACTTAGATTGTATGCTACATATAAAACCTGTTAGCAAGACGTTTGTGTTGGTCCATAGCTGTGACAGTCACCCAGTCACTTTGCTGATTTTCTGGTCACTCCTGTGAAGGAAAAGTCTTTCCACAAGATTTTGAAAATCTCCTTTTACTGTTGTGTACAAAAAGAGACACTGTCAAGATGGTGAGTCCAATCATTTACCCTATTGCTCCTTAATCTTGTTACAAATTCAATGCAGTTGTTCATGTTTAAGAAGTTCCAATGCTTTATTTAACTATATATAAAGTATTCAGCTTTGGTAGCTGAACTCTTGTGATACTTTTATAGGACTTTTTAACTAGGGACCTCACATGGCTTACGGACTACAACCTCAACCTCACTAGAAGGTAGATATGAATTATGAAGTTAATCTGAGAGTTTGAAAACTGAGACAGACAGGTTAAATGATTTGACAAAGGTCACAAATTCAGTCAGTGACAGAACCAAGTCTAGAACTGAAAGTCCTGCTCTACCCATTAGCCAGACATGCTCCCTCTCTCTATAACAAGCAACCCTGCAATAATGCACACTAGAATTTACACCTCTGTGGTGCGTACTTACGTAGAGTGTAGAGAAGCCCTAAGAAAGGAAGGACTCATGAGTTCTAGCCTCCGCTTTGAACCGACTTTTAAGTCACTTAGCCTCTCTGTGCCTCACATTTCAAACTCTAAAATGAACTTCAGATCTACCTTCTAATGGGGTTGTGAGGGTTCAAGTTTGTAAAGCCTTTTGAGGTCCCTAGTTACAAAGTGCTAAACAAGTATAAGTGTTAGGCTGCTAAAGCTGAATATTGAATATGTTTAAAAAAAAAAGCATTGAAACTTTTTATACATAAAAATTTGCATGGGATTTTTAATAACATTAAGCAGCAAGAGGGTAAATGGATGGACCGCTGTACCTCATTTTCCCCTCCCTGAGGATAATACTTCACTATATGGGAACAGAGGCTAAATTCACAATGTTTGTAAAGCACTTTGAGATTCTCAGATGGGAGGAGACTGACCAGGGCAAAGTGCTATTGTTAATACCCTGACAGTGTTCTTTAATGGTTAATCAATCAGCATGGAGGCAGCATCAAAGGAAGCATACAAACTGTACTCAGCTAAATGAAGTCCCTTCCAAACTGTCAGAAGCTGGGTTGGAAACTGATCACAGATTGGAACTTTAAAGTGCTCAGCATACTCCAGCTGTTGCAGATAGCATTTTCACAGCTCTTCTTTCTTCCTCATGCCCAGATCTCTGCTCATGGGGGACCTCTCCCTCCTGTCAGCACCCTGACCGCTTTACACAGCCTAGAGCAAAATCCACACACCTTGAGCCAGCAAACCCAGAATCTAATCATGACATCACTGCCTGGTGTTATGGCAATTGGAGCTGGTGAGACCTCATCCCTGGCACCAGCATTCACCAACACAGGGGCCTCCACCCTGGTAATAGGTAAGCAGTGAACAATGTGGGGAAGCTGGAAGGCTCATTGTGGTTTCTATCCCACACTCTATTTATCAGGATTTCCAGAAAGGAAAAAAAGGATCTATGATCATTATAAATGTCTCATTTTCTGAGCCAAAAGCTTTGAGGTGGAAAGGAAAATATATGGCTGGGGGAGTCTATCACAACTATAGGGATTGTCAGGAGCTCCTCAGAAGCATTAGTACTTTGCACCATTCCACATGATATGAAAACGTCCTGCTCCTGTAGAGGCTTACCAGTTCACAAGTGGGGAATGGATGGCTAAGGAACTTGAGTAAAGGGATATAAAACCTTTCATCTCCATGTCATTGGTTCATATCCAGCTATTTGGTAGCCTAAACAAAATGAACCCCATGGGTCTAAAATTTAGTTCGTTGTGGCTAGTTACACCTAGCACTCTTGCCAGCAGACTGAGGTGAGCTTAAAATAATGACTGGGCCATTAAACTCCACTCTCACTTTTAAAGAAGGTCTCTCCAGTGAAGGATTAAGCAGATTTGAACAGAATTGCATTGCGTAATCTGTGGCTGAACAAGATGCCTCACCTCAGGCACAAGCACTGGTGGTAAGAGCTACTTGCATGGTGCTTTTCTGCACGAGATGTGGCTCAAACTACTGTTGATAGACCTTAGCTTTCATAGACACTAAGTTCATTCACAACTGGACAAGGCACAGCTGTAAAGCAGCTCCTCCTGCCCCAAAGAGTCCTAGCTCATACTACTATTGGAGACTAGGCACAGCTATGGAAACCATTCCAGAATTTCTGCAGACCCCACTTTGGCATAGGGAACAGTCATGCACTCCCAGTATGAGAGGAGATGAAACAAGGAACTGAATATGCATGTCTTTATTTCTCAGGCCTAGCCTCCACCCAAGCCCAGAGTGTTCCTGTGATAAACAGCATGGGAAGCAGCCTTACTACCCTTCAGCCTGTCCAGTTCTCCCAGCAGCTCCACCCATCTTACCAGCAGCCCATCATGCAGCAGGTCCAGAGCCACATCAATCAGAGCCCCTTCATGGCCACCATGGCCCAGATACAGAGCCCCCATGGTAAGGGTTCAAATTGGATTTCACCACCTCCAGTCCCTTTTGCTTGAGAGGTTAACTGATGGCCCCTGGGCTTGCAGCACTCTGTTTATCATCAGAAGAACAGAAGAGGAGGGTAGGTGATTCCTCTCCTAGATCCATGTCCTACTGGTTGTGTAGGAGATTCAGGATTGACTGACGGCAGATTCATGTTGGTGTCACTTTGGCTAAAGTTGATCTCCCATTTATTCAACTGTTCCTAGTTACAACTCTCAGAGCTCCAGAATCCACACAATCTTGTTTTCTTTCATTTCTAGCTCTCTACAGCCACAAGTCTGAAGTGGCCCAATACGCACATACTGGCCTTTTACCCCAGACCATGGTGATAACAGATACAGCAAATCTCAGTGCCCTGACTAACCTGACACCAACCAAACAGGTAACAAAGCAGGGAATGGTATTTGTCATATGCCTTCATTCCCCTACTTAAAACTGCACTGCATATCACGTAGCATACTGCCTATGCCAGCAGAGCATATCTGGCACCCTGTCTGTGCCACTCCAGCAGGACAATCTTCCTCACCCCAGCGCCTTGCCAATACCAGCTGGAACATTGGGAACATTAGAGCAAGCTTCCTTGCTGCACTGCCAAGCAGCAATGAGTTTCCTTGGAAACAGGACCCACTTGCTGTTTCCAATCCAGCTTGCCCATGTAAGTGCCTATTAGAAGGCTTATAGGAGACAGATCTGACCTAGGCACTGTTCCAAAGCTCAGGAAACATTAATTTTCTCAGGTGTTTACATCTGAATCAGAGACCCATACGGAGTCCGGGATCCACACGTCAGTGTCACAGACACCAACAATACATTTACAGAACCAAGACACAACCATTCAGCACCTTCAGGCAGGCCATCGCCTCACCCCAAGCCCAGCTGGTAAGACCAATAAACTGTCATTTTATACTGTCCCTCTATCCCGCTTCCATCTGCCAATACCCCAATGGTAGGACATGAAATAGCATCCAGGGTTTCCTATTCTGCAACAGAACTCCAACCAGGCCCTGGGGGATACAGAAAATGACCTCATGAAAGGAAGCTCTAAAGCACAGTCCATAGCAGGGATTTTTCAGCATATCCAAAAAGAGGTCTGGGTGTGGATATGGGGCCTATGTGGAATTTGTACAAGTGACTAACATTGAAGAACACAGGCAGGAATGGTGTCCCTACACAGCCAAACATGCAGAAGGCATTCAGGGATGGGATATAGGGTAAAGCCTACCAACTCTGAGAGGACATTAGTGAGTCATTTTAATTCCAAGGGGGTGGATTCCCATGATGCTTTGGATCTGAGCACACAAGTCTTTGCATATGAAATGGGAGTGGGATAAAGGAGTGAGGGCTTGTCTATAAAAACACTTAGTGTGCAGCAAACTGGGGTGTAAATCTAGCCCGCACTAGCCTGCCATGAACTAAGTGTCTGTGGGGACCCTGCTGCTGCACACTAGAAGTTTCACAGCGTGCTTTAATTTATGCCCGTTTCAAAGAGGCATAGATCAAGGTACGCTATGGAACTTTTAGTACACTGCAGCAGGGTCCACATGGCAAGCTAGTGTGGGGTAGATTTACACCCCAGTTTGCTGTAAGCTCAGTGTTGGTGTAGATGAGCCCTAACTCTTCAGTGATGTCAGGAAGATATCAGACCTTCATGTCTGAGATGAAGAATCCTTAGATGCCATGTAGAAGGAGGGAGGGAGGGGGGAATTAGAGAAGGAACAGATGAAGGAAACTACCATGCTAAAACTGCATGTTTTTAACAGTCTCCTCTAGCAGCCTGGTGCTGTACCACAGCTCTGACTCCACCAACAGCCACAGCCACTTGCTGCCATCTACTCACAGCGTTATTGAGACCTTCATCCCCACACAGATGGCATCCTCCACTCAGTAACCATGGTGAACAGTTCACAGGCAACTGCCATGACTGAGCCGTCAGGAGCACCTCCGTCTGTGTTTGTGATTCACTGTCACTGCTGCCTTCCACAGGGAAGAGAGTGCCTGGCCCGGAGGCCTCCAGCCCCTCTCCACTGCCTTGTGTAAAGTCCTCACCCTCATCCAAACACAACACGGGAAGAGGGTTTTCTTGAACACAAAGCTATGAGCACACATCCAGAGCGGATGACAAAGGACAGGGCTGACACCACTAGCTTCCACTGCCAAAGGGAACAATGGCCAACACAGAGACCAGAAATTAAGGACTTCCACCAGGATAAGAGTCTGAATGGTCTATGGCAAAATTACAAAGGGATAGCTGGAATTTTCATTCTTCTTAACCTTAGCTGGGCTGCATATACGTAAACCTGCCAATTCCACAGCAAGTCCTGCAGGAAAGAGCAGAGCAGAGCTGAGCCGCTAACGGCAGGTGAGCATCGCTTAAACACCCACCACTGCTGCAAACAGACAGATGGAAACTGAATGAGACAGAAACTTTTCTTGGGGCAGACAGTACAAGAGCCCGAATACTGGCCCTGCAACTAAAAGACGCTGAGAAACAGAGCCAGGGATGACATGAGAACTATCCTCTAATTACAGAACCACTAACTAAAAGCTTGCCATTTCTTTAACTTAAAAGGGACACTGTCAATTTATTTAGGTTTAGAAATATGACTTCCACTAGGCCAGGGCTGTTTTAGGGTAAGAGGCCTGAGTATTTTCAATGGTTCTACTTTGTTTTAAATTCAGAAATTAAAGGTGAGGAGAAAGGAAAGGAATGTTTAGTTCTCCACATCAGCAGGCTTGATTCTTGGTCTCTCACACCCCTCACAGGGTGGTCAGTGGAGCCAGTGCGGTCAGCATTTGGGATGGGGAGAGAGAAAGAACTGGCTCAACATAATACATCTGAAAATAATGTTTCAGAAACAAGGCTCTTTAAGCCCTGCCCCTCATGTTACACCATTGCCCCTTCTAACAGAGATTGTGTGTGTGTGTATTGGTCTCTCTCACATGTATCAGATCTACTCTGTAAAGATCTCCACACAGGTGGATTGTTTTTGTATAAATATAGTGTAACCACACCCTTAATTTTTAGCCTTTCACTGTGTGCCTGATGCTACAGCCCTCACTCCTGTGAATAACCCCTCAGATTTCCATGGATCTATTTGTATAAGTGAACGCTTTGAGTCCAGGGGCCCTAATTATAAATGCTTCTAGTAATTCCTCTTCTTCCTTGTTGCTTATACGTTCATATCACTGCTGAGCTGCAAACAAACATAGGAGAAGCCATAATAAACTTCTTTCTGGGGTTCTAATGGAGCTGAAGCTATCAATTTACACTGTAGAGGGGACAAAACCCAATGAGGGGAAAATATGATCAAGCCTCTAAAAGGATAAGAAACAATGGAGAATAAAAGAAACTATACAAATAAGTTGACAGTGTCCCTATAGCCACCATGTCTGATGATTGCAAACATATAGATGTAAATTGGTGCCAGTATGCAGAAGACTTTTTCCCTGGACTCTGATATTATGAGCTATTAGAGCCTAATTTCAGTAACTGAAAATCTCAGTGGAATTTGTCTCTAGGACTGATGCCCCTCTCCACTCTGTGTTATCCTGTAAATTTATTTAACTTTCAGTAAACTGAAAGAAAACCATTTGAGACTGTTGTATATTTATCCTCTTTACAGTATAAGCAAAGTCAAATTTATGAGGAATCCAGAAAAAGTTTTAAAAGTCGCATGATTTTCAGAAGTTAAAATTACTCATAATTGTAACGATGGCCATAAGGCATGTGATTTCTGTTGGTGTACTTGGTTAATTCACAGGCCGATTTTCAAAATACTTTTGCAGTTTAGATGCCTGCAGGGCATTTCCTTATGTGAAAAATATCAGGGTTCTTGCACAAAATGTGGGTGACTCCCAGGACCCTACAAGGAGCAATATTTTCTCACTTTAGCATCTTGAGTTCCTCCACCCATCCAAATATTAGGTCTTTCCCTGAAATCTCAGAGCTGCAGGCCTCTATTAGGAAAGTAAAAACAATACTGAAAACTACCAAAAACTGCTGCTGCATCTCAGAGACACAACACACACCTGGCTGGTCAAATAAGGACTTAAATGCAATTACTGCCATGCTGGGCTCAAAGGCACCTATTTCTGGCAGTTCTACAGCAGCATCAAATAGCTACAGACAATTGTGCAACTAAAGCCTCTAATGATGTGCAATACCTCTGTTAGCTGTGCCAATCCTAATGGAAGAAGATGGCAGTTGTGCATAAGACATTATATTAAATGAGACTAGGAGGCATTTATTGTTATTGAATTCTACTGCACACTGGCAGATGTAATACCATGAAAATAAAGCATCGAGGGCGACAGTTTGGAAAGAAACACCTGCTTATAACAATGAAGTGACACCATTGCACAATCTTTTTATAATTCTGCAGAGAGGTGTATATTCCATGGGAATTAGTAACATGGCAGGTTTCGGTAACATACTTCTGGTGATTATAGGAGAGGTAGGTGGGTCCCCAAGATTTGCCAGGATATTTGTGGGTGAGTCAGTCTCTCTCACAGCCTGGAGCTGTTTCTCCCATGGTTCTGGCAGCACGTGTTGGGAGAGGTGAAGTAGGAAATGATTCTCTGCCACCATCTCCACCAAAATCAGTTTATCACACACGTGCACTAGCTCCAGGGCACAGAATTTGGGCTGGATACACAGAAGGATCAGACCAGGACAGAGGTGACTCTCAATATGTCCTTGTATCGCCCAAATCCTTCAGTGCAAGGTCTGCATAACCAGCAATCCAAGTAATTGGTTTGTGATGGAATGGAAAAAGGGGAGTTCCCCAAGGGATGCCCCAACAAGGGCAGTCACTTAAACTCTTACTCCTTTGACTCCCCTAAAACAGAAGCTTTGCCAATTGTTTCCCCACATTTCCAGTAGAGGACAATGTGCAGGAACTACCTTTGTTAACTTTTCACCATCCTTCTTCCATCCTGACTACATATGTGGTTCATAGAACGGAATCATCATTCGCTTCTTTTCTGGTAATCTTTTTCTTCTTCTTCACTACTCTGGGCAACGTTGTGTCCTCTATACATTTGCCTTCTTGCCTCTTGCACTTTCTATCAATCGACGATAGAGTCTCGTTGCTGATCTGGTCACCTCCTTCTGTCTTCTGTTCACTATTATGCTCTCCTTTAGCTTTCTTCTTCCTTTTCTTTTTCTTTTTCTGGTTGTGCTCTGTACACTCCTGCTTGTGAACCTGGCTGGAATCCGGAGGCATCACAGAAAAAGCACTTTGCTTCAAGATATCTGCTGCTGACACAGCAGCCTCTTGGTATCTCTGCCATTCCTGGTCACTGTCCAGCTCACTGGAAGGGTTGCAAGCAAAGTGGGAGGTAAGTATGTTACACTTTCATCCTGAATTCACCCAAAGCACAGACTCTGAGATTAGCATAATCTTGATAAATGTAATGGCTTTGTGACTCAAAAACGTATTCCAGTGACCGCTTAACCAGTGTGTACTCCAAGCTGCCCTTTAATATGTATTATGTGCATTGGAAAAATTAATGCAAGTTAAAATCCCTAGTTTCCCTGCACTAGGAAAAATATTTTTCCAAAGTCAAATGTAAAAGGAATCTCTGAAACACAGCACTGAATATTTTTAGGAACAAAGTAGCAGACTAACACCTCACCTAGAACTGGTAGGTCGTCGCCTCCTGGCTGAGAGCGGAGGTTTGGATTTCCCACAATCTCCTGGAACAGATGAAGAGAATAGGCGAAAGCCTAAGAAACACAAAAAGGAACAGGGGGAAATAAATGACTAAAATCATTTGCTAGCCTAAGATATAAAACAGAGTCAGCAGCAGCAGCTAACAGCAATCCAAGTATGAGGCAACAGTGATGTCAACCCTCACATGGAATTTACGTTGGCCTGAAGAACTAGAAGGTGTTAATTAAGCTTTCTGCACTATTACATGAAGATAACCCCTGCTGATATTAAAGACAGAGTGCAGTAGAAGGACTTCTTGTTAATCTAGAGCGCTGTATGAGCTAATACCAGATAGAATTCATTACATTTGTGCCAGTGGAGAGCTATTAGATGGGTGCTGACAACAGTGACTGTGCTTGGAACTCACCATCATCTTCAGAGTCAGCTGTTTGCATGGAAGTCCATACAGGACCTGATGAATCCTCCAAGACAGTGATGTAGCTAGAAGGAAGACCACAGTCTGAATTTAGGAAAGGAAACAAGGATTCGATTTTATGCAGCCAGGCTAAGTTTAAGAAGTTGGAAATGTTAAACAAGATTAAAGTGAGCAGTTAAGTAACTTTTACTCAGTGGGTTCATTTCAATTTTTTTTTACTTTCAGAACTATCTCCACAGAGCATGGCCATTTCATTCAGAAACATGGCACATAGAAACTACTCACATGCAACAGTCCAAGCAGCCAACCCACATTGCATTCTAGGCCCATTAGTTCCCATGGGCCATACTTCCACATTAAAGAAGGGCAGCAGCAATCTGCAATTAGGTGAAGCCTTTGAACACCTACCAAGATGCCCGCACAGCTCTCAGTTAGGCTGAATTTGTTTGTTGTATGGATAAGTTGAAAAAAAGATCACACACGTGGACTGGGAAATTTCCTGAACAGATTCAAAGCCTGGCCATAAATGGAGGTGGCTCTGATGAATCTCAATCCTGTCTATTCCCTTCCCAACACAGAACACTGAGCACTGAAGCTAACAAGAAAGGCTCTGCAGAACACACCAGGTCTACATTATCAATGGGAGAATAGGACATGGGTCAGTTCACGAGCATTAGGAGCTCAGTCACAAGCCAGCAGTATGCACAGGGATGTAGGAAACAAGAAGAGAAACAATCTTTCCTCAAAATACAAGATGTTTCCCATAGAAAAAGATGTATTTAACTCTTCAATGATTCCCATTTCTACCACTCAAGGGTATTGACACTGCTCTTGCAAGGGAAGGATCTGACTAAGGCTTATTTAATCTCATAAGGCTGTGCTTTGGTACTGGTTACCTGTCTAACATTGCTCCCAGTTTCTTTGCAACATGTGCTCTGAACTCTGGTGTGGTCTGTAATTCGTTGCCATCTCTGTCATGGTCATTCACCTTCTGTCTGTTTGAAATAAAAACAATGTGTGATCTCCTTCAGATCCAGTAACCATCTGCTGCTTTCACCTAAAACTGAAGACTTGGGACTGGCAATGGGATAGAGAGCCTTAGACCACTAAGAGATCGATTCAAATCCAGCTCAGACTGATAGTGGCCAAAAGCAACTACTATCAGAAGGCTGTTCACTAGCATGTGTGAAGTAGCTTGGGTGGTCTCAGTATGGTCCACATTCCCTAACCATCAACAGATGTCCACATTCCCTAAGTATCAACAACATAATTGGTATTAACTGACCCTTTGCTGAGAGTCTCAGCAGCACAGGCCAAGGATTGGAGCCTGAATGCTCCTACCATTCCTTTGTCCCTGAAGAACAGAGTTGCAGGTATATCAGCAAAGCAATGTGCTGCTGCTCACTCCAAACCTGCCCCTGGAGAGAGGACTTTATTAAAAGTTGCCAGGTTGATAGGCTTGGAGACTATGCTTAAAAAGAAGAATATTGAGAATTCAGACAGGAGAAGGTGGACTCCATTGCAAGGCTTCTAAACCAAGGATTGTTTTCCCCATTGATCAGGGAAATATTTGGTCACTTAGTATTCAATTGTAGACAAAAGACAATGTCTTATAATGGGAAGGATCAGGTAACCTTAACTATTGTATAGGCAGCACAAGTTCTGCCTATAATCAATGTTTCATTTTTCTTCATACAAACAGCACTCTGAAATCCAAAAAAAATACCTGAGACTAGGCTGAACTGGTAGTAACTTGTCCTTCCCAAAGCCACCTGCCAAAACAAAGCAAAGGCAAATTAGAAATTTCCAAGACTAAAACACCTTTAATCCTAATTCCACTGTAGATGATTTTACAGGGTAAAAGTAATTTTTGGAAGATAGAATAGTGGTCGCATTCAAAGGAGGATATGGTTATGATTTGAAACATTCTTCAAGCAAACTACACATCAAGTGACTAACTCCACTTGCTAAGATAGTGCAACACGAGTTTAATATTGGACCCAACATCTACTGGAGGAAAGTATCCAGCTCTGGCAAGAATCCGATATATCTTTTCTATTATGATCCTAAATAGAAGGCAAGCCAAGTCCTTCCTTGAAAGAACCATATTTCACATACTCTATGACACAGAGCCCTATGGAGAGACAAACTTTGAAGTTTGAACTCTGGGGCTTGACAGAAAGGCTGCCAAATTCCTAGAAGTAGGGTGAGTTACAGATGAAGGTCACTGGCAGGGTGAAGGCACAAGATAGAGTAGGTCTGAAGCTTTCTGGCTATTTAGCTACTGATTCAATTATCCAGAAATTCTCTTTGGATTGAGTAGCTGGGTACTATGTCTGGTTTAAGTGAAGCCTACTGATTTAATTTATATAAAGATGACTTTTTTCTTTCAGCAATCTCTGTATTACTGATCCTTTGATTTTTTTACATTTGTACAGACTCATTTTCCATCCAAATTGTAACAAATTACTTTTAGAGAACTATTACAAGATTCACTCTGCAGCAGAGAGGAAGCCAAGATGCATATTCCCAAATCATGTTACTGTCCTAAACAGTTAAAGCTTTAGTATGATCCAGGAACATGGATGGATGCAGTCTACACGGCAGGACTGAACAATTTTTTAACCATAACAAGCCAATACTGTATTAAAACCCTGTCTACAAAGCAGTAGGTATCACAGTTTAGACAGGATCTTAGAAATTCCCCCAATTTTCTGCTCTCTCAGCATCCAAGCAAGCAGACTTTGGACAGCATGCAAGACAGTCTTTGCACTTATCCAGAAAAACACTGGTAGGACAGCATGGGGAGTAAAGAGCCAGCATAGCAAAAAAAACAATTTCTTCTGTATATTAATTCCCCAGATATAATTCAAAATATGATCCATAACTCAACTGTGTGACTTACACCAAGGGTCAGGCACAGTGAAGAAAGATAGACAAGACACCAGACATGATTCATTATGCTAGAGAATCCTCTGTCCTTCCAATTCTTTCTTTTTGAGATTCATTATTTCAGAATTATTTTACAGGCTGTTTTTAAGAAGTGTTTTCTTACAGAGAGTGCAGGTTAGCATGAGATTTAATATGCCACTTTTTAATTTTGTAACATAACCTAGCCCTGCTTGAGTCAGGTCTGAGTTCACCATTAGATTAGTTCCTAAACCAACTGTACTCTAGACACAATCATAATTAAACATAAAGCGGCTCAGTTAATACTGGAGGAGCAGCTGCCTTTGAGAGGCCACACTGTCGGGGGCACTCTATGCATCCGAAGGAGTGAGGTTTTTACTCACAAAAGCTTATGCCCAAATAAATCTGTTAGTCTTTAAGGTGCCACCAGACTCCTTGTTGTTTTTGTCGGAGGCAGGAGCTTGCACCCATCTACTGACCCCATACGCCCCTCCAGCACCCAAAATCCAGGACTAGCCACCTCGCCTGCTTGGGGGCCTGGTTGCTCTTGCTGAGCTGTGGGCCAGTCACAGGCTCGGCTGCTGACCAGGGAGGCAGGGGCGGAATTGGGGTGTGACAGCCCAGGGCATTCCACCTGATCAGGTGAGTCCCGTCCCCGCTTCCCCGGGTGCTGCGTCCACGCAGGGAGGGGAAGGGCCTGCTCTCGGTCGGGACTGCCGTGGCCAAACCAAAGGACCCCAGAGTCACCCCCAGCCGCCCTACCGCTGCCGGGCTCCGGCGGAACCACCGCCGACCGCTGCCCAGCCAGGTCCCAGGCGGCCTCGCGAAACCGCTCCAAGTCCTCCGCGCTGCTGCTGCTCTCCGAGTCCGAAACATTCGCGCCACAGCCACCCAGGAGCGCTGCCATCTTGGAAACCGCCTAGCATCCTGGGACTTGTAGTCCAGGCCACAGTGATAGGGGACCGAGAGCCCTCTGCTGATCCCATGCGTTTGCAAGTTCCTGCTGTGGCGGGGAGACTCCGCGACCCTCGTCTCTCCCTCAAGTGGACGGGGTGAGAGTGGAGAGCACTTCCCCAGTGGGGCTGGGGGGGGGGGCATGCTTGTATCTCCCTCTGCAGTGATCCTGTTTCATGTAATCCATTTAAAATCTGTTCTGAATGATCATTTAGCAAAGGGGTCGGCAACCTTTCAGCAGTGGTGTGCCGAATCTTCATTTATACACTCTAATTTAAGGCTTCGCGTGCCGGTAATACATTTTAACGCTTTTTAGAAGGTCTCTCTATAAGTCTATAATATATAACCAAACTACTGTTATATGTAAAGGGTGGCCTGCTGGGACTCCAGGCCCGAAAGCAGGATGAGCAAGGGCTGGAAACCAAGATTGGCAGCTGAGGTGAGTGGAGTAGGTGGCTGGTAGGCCTGAGCAGGGCTGGAGGCCTGGACCCTGTCTGCAAGAGAGCCACCAACCTGAAGCAAGGTGAGTGGAGCTGCGCGGTAGAGACCCCTGCTGGCAAGGGGCCAGCAGCCGGAACCCCAGAGCAGCGACTGGCTCAGCCTGCTGCCACTCTGAGGTCTCAGCCCGCTGCCAGCCTGGGGTTCCTTCATCCAGGCCGGCAGCGGGTGCTGAATTGGACCCGTGGGGACCCCGGCTGGCAGGAGCCCGCAGCCGAAACCCCAGAGCGGGGTGGGCTGAGCGGCTCAGCCCGACCCCGCTCTGGGGTTTCGGCTGCGGGCTCCTGCCAGCTGGGATCTCAGCCCACTGCTAGCCTGGTGGAAGGAACCCCAGGCCAGCAGCCGGTGCTGAGTTGGACCCGCGGCGCGACCCCAGCTGGCAGGAACCGGCAGCAGGAACTTCAGAGCGGGGCGGGCTGAGCAGCTCAGTCCGCCGTGGCTCTGGGGTTTTCACCGGCGGCTCCTGCCAGCCGGGGTCTCAGCCCACTGCTAGCCTGGGGGAAGGAACCCCAGGCCAGCAGCAGGTGCTGAGTTGAACCCGCGGCGGGTCCCGTAGGAGACAGCAGCTAGCAGCGGGAACTCCAGAGTGGCTGCGGGGCTAAGCAGCTCAGCCCACGCCGCGTGCCAGGAAAAATCGGCTCGCGTGCCAACTTTGGCACGTGTGCCGTAGGTTGCCGACCCCTGATTTAGCTGAAAGTATCAGGGGGTAGCCGTGTTAGTCTGTATCTACAAAAACAACAAGGAGTCTGGTGGCACCTTAAAGACTAACAGATTTATTTGGGCATAAGCTTTCGTGGGTAAAAACCTCACTTCTTTGGATGCATAGAGTGAAAGTTACAGATGCAGGCATTATATACTGACACATGGAGAGAAGGGAGTTACTTTGCAAGTGGAGAACCAGTGTTGACAGGGCCAATTCAATCAGGGTGGATGTAGTCCACTCCCAGTAATGGATGAGGACGTGTCAATTCCAGGAGAGGAAAAGCTGCTTCTGTAATGAGCCAGCCACTCCCAGTCCCTATTCAAGCCCAGATTAATGGTGTTAAATTTGCAAATGAATTTTAGTTCTGCTGTTTCTCTTTGAAGTCTGTTTCTGAAGTTTTTTTGTTCAATGATAGTGACTTTTAAATCTGTAATAGAATGACCAGGGAGATTGAAGTGTTCACCTACTGGCTTATGTATGTTCATTTAGCTGAAAGGGACAATATGAAGATTTATTTCAGTGTTTCTCCACCTTTCAGGTTGGCAACCCCTTATCCAAATTAAAAAAAAAATTAGCTGATTACATTCACTATAAGAGTGGAAAATGTATCAATTACAAGCCTATATATTTGTGACAAAGAGTCCTGTGGCACCTTATAGACTAACAGAGGTATTGCAGCATAAGGTGCCACAGGACGCTTTGTTGCTTTTTACGGATCCAGACTAACACGGCTATCCCTCTGATACTATATATTTGTGTATGTGTTTTGAGAAGTTGACAGAGAATACTTGACCTTGAAAGGCACAGGTGTGCAGGGACTGCAGGGATGAGATTTTCTTTGCTTTAGATTGTAATGGAAATGTTCAACATCTCACTACCAGCCTTGTTGCCTTTTGTGACGTCCCTGGGTGAAAAACATTGATTTATGGCACTCAAAACCAAGGTGTTGATGTACAGTCATCCACAGCACTCTGATATCACAGAGGGAGCAGAAAGTGTCTGCTAGGCTCCATCTCATATGATAACCTTTCCTGCATTGTTAAGTGGAAGGAAGTTACCTCTCAAAAGCAGATGGGGCGAGGGTCACAAGGTGCACAAGAATTCAGTAAAACATGGAAAAAATTTGAGGTAGGCAGTATCTACTCTGTATCAAGGAGGGGTGAAACACATTGGTACTGCAGTGTAAAATAAATCTGCATTGTCACTGCCTGTTGTATAACTGTTCTGTGCATACAGAGGAGACCGTCTCCAAGGATCTCAAATAGTCTAACATCATTTACTAGCAAACTCAAAACTGGGTTAAAAAAAAATGGAACTGCACTGCCCTACACTTTCAACTAAACTGCTTAAATAATCTCTGGACCTTTCCCCATGACATACTGTATGCTTTGTAGCCATTTATTACAACTGCCGATTGTAAGGCATCACAATATTTTTAATATTGTTTTCTATCCCATTCTTTAGATACATTAACATCTAATTTATTTTTAACTGCCATTGTGCATTAAGAAAAGTATTTTGTTGAGCTGTCACTGTGATGCCTAGGTCTCTTACCTTCTGATAAGAGTGGTAACTATACCACTCAGGAATCAGAGATAACCTTTTTGAGAACATTAACTTACTTCTATGCTTTTAAAACAACAGATATAAGAATAGAAACTTTTATTTTGTAATGAAAACCTATAGGAAATTTTTGAGACAGTAGCTATATGGTGATTGTTGCTATGTGGTCCAAGTTTTCTGGGATCATCCCAGCTTTAATAGGGCTATCTCAGAATCGCACAAGTACCTTTGTGGCCCATATAACATCTTAATTGTTCGATATTACATCAGAGCATTGAAACTTAGATGCAACATTAATGTTGTGTCAAACCATTCTGTTATCTCAACATGCTGCTTTAAGTGTCATAAAACTGTGATGAATGAGTTTGCCTCCTCTGACCAATTTCTAAAGACAGCAAATCTACTAGCATAAATGGGTGAATGAATCTCATGATGTGTTGCCCCATGCCAGAGGGCAGGATCAAAATTGGTTTCCTGTATGGCTCCCCATTTTAGATACTACATACATCTTCACCTTAACTGTGTGTTGTTAGTTGATACACTTGCATACAAGTGGAAATTCCAGCATGGCTGCTTGTTTGTAGCTTTGCTGTGGATCTTGCGGTAGACATCTGCTACTGGTGTTGATTTCTTGGCTGTTAGGGCCTCTGCTTTCCCAGGCTGAAGCCATAGGTAGTTCATGGTCTATTTAAAAACAATAAGGCCGGAGGGGATGGGGGGTTGGACGGACACTACCACTATGGCTTAGACCATCTCCTCTGTCTCTGTATGTAGACCAATGCAGAAGCTCCACTCTTCTCCCACACCCCAGCCCCTTGTGTGTGTGGAATCCAGACACCGACACCTGCTGCGGTGGTCTAGTTTCCTTAAGTTTAGTAGAAACAAAGCATTGTTTGGTGTTTAACCTTAAGTTAACCCCTGCTCCACTGCCCTAGGAATAGGGTGACCAGATGTCCCGATTTTATAGGGACAGTCCTGATATTTGGGGCTTTTTCTTATATAGGCTTCTATTACCCCTCCCACATCCCCTGTCCAGAGTTTTCACGCTTGCTATCTGGTCAGCCTAGAGGCCAATGTGTGCGGAACCAGCCTCCATTCCCCCCTCCCCTGTGTGGAAGCTGGACTCCTTTCGCCCCGCTCCCCCCGGTGCGTGGGATCTACGTGCCCCAGCCCTTAGGGTGTATGAGATTTGTCCCCCGGTCTCCCTGGCAGGCGGAACCCGATGCCGCGGTCCCGTGTGCCGGCCGAGAGGCTGGTCCCGGACAATGCAGGCGGGGCTGGGTTTCCGGGGGATCAGGTGACAGCGGCGGCCCAGGGAGGAGAAGCTGGAGCGCGGGTTGGAGCCAGCTGGGAGTCTGAGTCTCGGGGTTGTTGTAGTTGTCGGGGGGTCGCGGCACCTGCTTCTCAGGTGAGCAGCGGGGGGACGGGCCTGAGACTGCCGCGGGGCGGCTTCGAGGCCCTGCCTGGGGTTGCGGGCGGGCCTGAGGCCTGGGCCGGGAAGCGGGCTGAGGAGGGGGTCGGTGGGGCGGGGGACTTGGGCGGGGCTGAGCTATCGGGTGGGTGTGTGGGGCATCCTGTCAAGTTAGCAGTAGGTGGTCAGGAGCTGGAAGGAGAAGCCGAAACCTTTTGGCTCCTTAGACAGGCGCCTCTCGCTCTTATTTTGTCCGTCCGTGGGGGAGGGCGAACAGTTCGTGTGCAAGGGGGTGTCTCCTCACTGATACACTTTGAACTTACATCTGTTTACAAGTAGTTTTTATTACCTGAGACCATTAACTGGGTAACTCATAAGTCTTACAAGAAAATGCCTTGGAAATCACAGTTTGTTAATGTTTACTCTCCCAAACTAACACATGGCACAAGGTGTCCCAGGATCTGGCTTGACTCGGGAGGGAAATAACCACTCCCCCCTTCTCCTCCGTGTGTGGGTCCTTTGTAAAATGTTATTTGGTAAACAGTCGCTTGTCCCAGTTGCACTTCTTTCTGTAACAGTGACTGTGTTGTATTCCTCTTCCATTTCATCCTTTGATTTTCTTGTCCAAAACGTTTTAAGATTATATCAAAACAGAATGAGATCACTCTTGTCTTTTCTTTAGTGAATTATAGAATAGCAGATTTTAGGTTTACATGTAACAGTGGGACTTTGTGATTTTTACTTTTGCAACTGAGGGAGATGGTACTGCTCAATGGTTGGAGCAGGAGTCCAATAGCAAGGAGACTTGGATTCTATTCTCCTTTTTGCTTCTGGCTTCCTGTATGTCTGCAGGGAAACAATTTGTTTTCCCCATCTGTAAAAATTGGGATAATTTACACTCCTTTGTAAAGTGCTTCGGCCTCTTAACATTATTTGTTGCTCTCTACAGTTAGATTTTTTTTTCTCCCCAGGGATCTAAAATGTTTCGTAAGTGTCCATTAAAGATGTGGCTCTTTATAAATAGATTAATATTTGGGTTTTAGTTCTTATCTTCAAATATAGTAACTTCTGATATATTTTAATTGCCCTCTGGGATTGCTTTATATGCTTTTTTTATTTTGTTAATTTCAAATAAAACCTCCCCTGGCAACCTATAAAGTTATAATAATTAGTCCACATAGTACATTTATGACCGATTTAATCCTATAAAACATATTACATAATCTAATATCATCTGAATATTTTTCTGGCATTATCTAACTGATTATATCAGTTTTCTTTATCCCTTAGATTTGCCAGGGTTTAAAAAAAGAAGTGTGTTCATAGGCTTCATTCCAAGTTCTGTTTGAGTCTGTTATCTGTTTAATGGACGGGAGAGAGCGTAAAACAGAACAAAGCTATCTTTGTCTTTTACATGCTTGGCGTTCACAATAATTTTTTATACTAACAAAGTACCTTGCATTTGTATAGCACATTTCCGATCAATGGATTCCAAATCACTTTTTAAACATAGGCCTCAATCCTGCATTCTAATCCTCTAGCACAGGTCTTTGAAGCGTCCCAGTGAATTAAATGTGTCTCTGAATTGCTGCATGGGTTCCTGGTAGTAGATTAATGTGCAAGATGGTGTTTTAAATTGATGTTTAGCCTATATATATATGTAGGGACCACTTCATCTAACACTGAAAGGGATATACAGCACAGAAACATAAAAACCACAAAAGGAGAATAGAACATGCATGACTGATTATCTAAAGAGTGAGTTGAAACATAACCTGTCAAGAGATGGGGGAAGGGAATAAAGAGGCAACTAGGTAAATGTATGTTTAATAATTAACAGTTTTACTTCAGCAGGAATGAACATGCTGTGAATGTCAGGAAATAAACGTACTGTTTTTCATGGGGCTGTCAGCAAACATCAGCTCTTGCAGAAAAAGTAACCTGTTATTATGTTAGGTACACTTAAAGTTCAGAGAACTCTCACATTGTAGGTTTCAAATTTGTATTTTGTTTTATGTCTGTGGGTCTTCTTCTAAACCTAGTGTCGAGAGAGAGATTTTCTTGAAACTTTTATAATATTAATGAAAAGTGATCATTTTAAAATTTGGATTGCCATGTTTGCAACAAAAACATTGTGATATTGTGGTAGTACATCAGAAGAAAGTGAACCTGAAATGTTAATTGTCCAAGCAGAGGGAAATTTAGAACCTGAATAAAACAGAATCTGTCATGAGAAGCAAACTAGACTTGAAAAATTCTTTAAATTTTAGTAATCTCTTTAGTAATGTAACACTGTGACACATTAGTAAAAGGAGCAAAGAAACTTATTTTTCTTTTCAGGTTTTTTAACCTGACAGTGTTCCTTTAAATCTCATATTTAAGATATACAGCAAAGAGAAATAATAATTAAAAATGTTAATATGTAGTCAGTGACCTAGAGCCCAATTGGAAAGCAGTTATTCTTAATATTTATGAAATAACTAACATTATAAAGCAAACATTTCTAAACATTTTATATACCCTACAAATATGATTTATAACTTAGGTGATATTATCTTCTGATGCTTTCTATTCTGCACTCTGAATTATTGGCCATCTGTGCTCTTTGTCATTGAGATTTTTAGATGCTTTAATTTAAAATGTCATGATCTCTTTTTTCCTGTGAAGTTCCTCATAGTTTTCAGAAGCAAATCGCTATATCTCCGGAAAATCTCTCATTTCTCTTAGATCCATACACTTGGTCTCTTTCACTGTCTGATGCTCCAGCCCTGCATTTCCTGGTGCATCATTCCCCCACTTCTCTACTCCACTCTGTGTCTTTAGAATATATTTCCTAAATATTTTGTGGGTATCTTCTCCTCAGTTGCTTCTTGCAGGCGCACAGATGAGCACATAAACCTCACCAGTCTCCCACGCTATTATTTCCTCCTCAGTCTCTTAGACCATCTGTTGCTCTCAACTGCCATGGAACCTTCAGGCCCCAGAGTGCCATCTGCTTCTTAAAGCCTCCTTTCTCCTCACATATTCATCTGCTCTTTCAACCAGACTGGCTCCAGCAAAGCCTGGATAACCGAAAGGAAGGCATGTTATATCCCTTCCCATATATCTTTCTCCCCCCCCCCCGCCCTTTTTGTTTATTTAAGGACATCTGCATGAAAACAAGTTTCTTTTTTCTTAACAGTTCATCTGTTCCTGCTGTTTGTTCCCCATGTCAAGTAATAATACACTGTGATATCAGTCATTTCCACAGCAACCAGTTGCGATATCACAGAGGATGATGACTTCAAATTGGGGAATAAACAGCGGGAACAGATGGGCACTTAAGAAACAAATACTTTGTTTTCATGGAAATGTCTTGATAACAAAGAACAAGGGAAGAAAAGTGGAATATCTTTGAAAACTTGCCATGAGGTCACAACTAACTCTTGCACCTTCTTCCTTCCTTCAATTTCTTCAATGGTCCTGGCATTTGTGAAGTGGGACTTGAAGAGCTGGTCAAAAGGGCAAAGGTTTAGCAAACCTAGATTAGTACCTTTGTACACCCAATTATTTCTCCCCACTTTTAATGAACACTTTTGTGTTTAATTTAACCTGAAAGCAACAGTGACTTCTGAGGTGCTTATGGTGTTTCCTTCATCTGAGCCCTGAATCAAATACAAAAAGGGTCTGGCCTGTTTTATTTGATTTTTCTTAAGTGTACTTCTCTGCCTAGCATTTCTTTTAACAAGCTCAGGTGGTTGACTGAAGGTGGTATCATCTTGGAATTTACTCTCAAACTTATGAATCTGTTCTAGTTAGAACATAAGAGATCCAGTTATTATGGATTGAGCAAATGTGCTTCTTACTCTATGGGTATCAAATCCTGTCTCAGTTTAATTTCAAATGTATAAATAATAATGTTTGTACAATACCATAGGAGTCTGCATGGTGCTTTACAGACAAATATAAGATTGTCCCTCCCTGCTCCAAAGAGTTTATTACAAACTAGGTTAAATAAGACATGTTGTGCCTCAGTGAGAGATTACAACAGACAAGTGGGTAGGAATGAGACAGTCTTGCACAGTACATGCTAGTTATTGTCTTAGCTTATTAATTATGTTTGTAATATTTTTATGTTTTTAATTGATGAATTCCTAATGGGGGATTAGATTAGATCTGAAAGAGGGTACTGAAGAGAGACTTGGAGGAGGTGCAGTTACAGGGTCAGGAAGGTCTTTCTTTCCAGGAGTACGGGTCAGTATTGGAGAAAGTACAAAGGCTTTTGTGGGAGAAAAGCTGAACAGGGTCACCTGACGGCTCAAGTGCGGAGAAGGAAGATACTGGCAGAAACAGAACTAATTACACCTTTTTGTTTATCTGGTTTCTCTCTTGCATTATGACCAAATCTGCTTTAAAAAGAACATTAAATCCAGGTCTGAAAATTCATGCTATGGATCCCCAAATCTGTAGGAGTAAATCCTTCCTCCATCTCTCCTCCTACTAAAATATTAAACCAATATTTAAAGCAGAATACCACATGAACGAATCCTGGTACTTTAAACATTAACTTCTTGCTTCAGTTTTGGATTTTTTTGTTATTGGGGTTCATGTAAACATTCATTATCTGAGCAAGATAAGCTAATGCTGCTAAAGGTTCTGGCAGAAAGGATGCATGAGAACAGTGAAAATTGTTTTTTAATGTGTAATTCGGGAATTGGTAGCATTTCCACCTGTCCTGTACTAAAGCATTTTTTAAATTTTTTTTTAACAATGGCAAACTGCCTTGCTGATGAGGGTAAATGAAGCCATGCTGTGAAATGCTAGGAGTCAGCAGTGCTGAGAGGCAGTGTGCATTAAGGCACAGTAGTTGTGAACACTGAGCTGTCCTTCTGGGACCCCAGGCAAAATGATGTAACTGAGTGAAAAAGCTCTGTAGAAATAAATCTCTTCTCCTTCCCCATTTGTTCTGTTGTGGTGTCATTGATGCAATACTTTAATTGGACTCAGGCTTGACACTTTTTTAGTCCTGGAGCGGAGTTGCATTGTATGAAAAGAACTCTGCGATAAAAGCTGGAGAAACTGAAGTTTTGTTTTACAGCTCCACATGTGTGCTTCAGCATTACTCAGGAAGCTGAACTTGTGGGGTAAGTTATGCAGTCAGTAGTTTATGAAAGGTTCTAGTTGCCCTTTCCAAATAATTAATTTCTGTGGACTTGTGAAAGTTTTAGACAGTCATCTGTTTCTCTCTCTCATATGGGTATCTATGATTGATAGACTTTCAGCATCTTGGTATCTGAGCTTCTTGTTTTTCTCATGTAAAGTGCAATGGACTAAGATTTAAATTGTTCTTTCTTGGTTAATTGTGACTGACTCAGCAGGTATAGATTTGTTCTTGATTTCTGGATTAAAAATCAGAGTAGACTTTTGGTATTTGTATTGGACAGCAGAAGTATATCTCTATTTCCTGGGATGTACATGTTTTGTGCTCATGCTGTCTCCATTCTGTAAAGTGCTTTGGGATTCGCATGTCAGAGAAATCCCATACTAAGGTTTATGGTAGTTATGTTTTAGCAGAAAGAAATAAAAAGAGAGAGAATCCTGTTGAGTAGACATACATGATATGTGCTGCACAGGTAACATGAGCATGTGAGCTGTACAAACAACTGGGATGTTCAGTCCTCAGTGTACTGGGTGCTTCTGCAACATAATTGCTAGAAATGTTCACGGCTCACTTCCACCCAGGGCCATGACAGCAGTGAGAGGGAAGGGTGGATAAGAAACAAGGATGTTTTAAAAGAAATATATCAGAATTTTTCAATTTAAATTAAATATATATTTTTAAAAAATACATGTAATTAGGTAAATTTGAAATTGATAATCTATGTTAAGGCCTAAACTACTTGTTATATTTTTAAATTAAATACAAAAAATATTAAGCAGTGTATGTTTGCTGCTGAGTTTCAAAGAAAGTCAGACTCACTGAACGGTTGTAAGTATCTGGAACCAAAATTTGTTGAAGTGCTAAACCAGATTTTGAGAGCAGATAGCCTCTCCTGCAGGTGCAAGAGAGTAACTTTTTAAATGTTAGTTTATTCAGCTAGTTCAGTTCAATAGCTAGTTCAGTCAAAGTTAAGAAGGAAAAAGCAGGAAAACTTGTCTTCCTCTCCCAATCTAGGAATAAAAATCAGGTATAAGAAGATGAGATCTACTGGTTCTAAAATCTTGAATGACATGGTGACCAGAAACACTCATTTCCATTCACTAACTACAGATAATGCGTCCTTTACATCAGCTAGTTTAAAATGCAAAACATTATTGATAAACTTTTTTTTCTTACGTATCCGGTACATTTAAGATAGTTCTATTTAAAAACAAAATTTAAAATGCTGTTTTTGTTTGTGCATTTTAAGTGAATTCCAATCAACCTCCAAAAGGAGCTTGACACAAATCACAAGTTAAAAAAAAAAGTATCTAGTAAATAAGAAAACCCCCATTTACCATTTTCTAACATAATAAAAAGGTAAAAATTAAGAATCTCCATACATGTAAATTAAGCTGTATAATTGCTTAAATAAGTGTGTGTAGATATATTGTATCCCATGGTTAGCAAAAAGAAGTACCAAATTTAGTACACAGGTTGCATTCAGTTGCAAGTCAACATTGTTTTAATTTTTACAACCAATGAGAATCAACCTGTCTTGAGAAAAATAACTAAAAAATACCAATGTGAAACACATCTAAAATTGATGATTTAAATCAATCCACCCTGGTGCAAGGATCACTTCCATCCACCTTCTTTCCCCGGGCTCCTGGTAACCTGAACTAATGGATGTAAACAAAATGTGTGTGTGTGTGTGTGTACGTACACACCTCACTGAATTCTAGAAGAAAGGTCTCCTGGCATGGTCCTTTGTTAAACTCCTTTTCAGGCTGTGCTCAAACATTTGTGTCCTGTACTGAATTGTGGGAAGAGCACATATATGACTAAATGTACATGTATCAACAATACACTCTGCAAAGAGTAACTGCTGTTTGGTAACATTTACAAGATGATGGAGATGGGAAACCGGTCTTAATTTTCAGCCTTGGGGTTTAATGTGCTAGTCAGTCAGTGCACCGAAAATTTAAAAATGTAGGTGATGTCAGCAGCTAGGCCATATGACCGATATTCAAGACAGCTTAACTTCTAAAAAAGACTCCTCTTGGCTACCATAAAATTGAGATGTTGGAATCTGGGATCCAAATGGTCCTTGGGCAATAAGCTTAATATTTTTTTTTCATCTTTCAGTTTCAAATAGGACACGAATGTAACAGTGTAATGCAAGTGGAATTTCTCTTTCTCTGTCTCACAGGATTCCAGTTGGAAGATTTTACTGACCTTGGATCTGATTAATTCCTGAGGATGGCAAGTAAAGGGCCTACGGCGTCTACATCCACTGAAAACTCCAGTACTGGAGGGACCAGTGGCAGCAGCAGTAGTAATGGTGCTGGGGACAATACTAATCAGGACAGCACTTTTGAATGCAACATCTGTTTAGACACTGCCAAGGATGCGGTTATCAGCCTGTGTGGGCACCTCTTCTGGTCAGTATTCTACTTTCCTTAGGTAGGCCAGAATATGGGTCTGGGACAAACACACTTTTATCCTCCAGGAGCCGAGAATGTAACAAGGTTAAATGTCAGATGAAAAGTCCAGCCTTGCAATCTTAAAATGTGAATGGGATTATGGACTTGGAATTGAGTGCTGTAAACAGAAATTTGCTAACTTACTGTTCTGCCCCCAGATCCATTCTTCTGTTAAATATGTAGTTACTCCAGGCTACTGTTGGTCTCCTAAAGTTTTGATTTTGGTAGCCCTCTGGATTCTTGTGCTAAAAACTGAATTGCACAGCCTTGATTAATATAATTTGGCAAAGAAATATTATTTTCATTCATGCCTTTTGGCTTGGCACACACCCACTGTTTGGGTCTAAATTCCTCTGTAACCCATCCATACCTGGAACTGCTTTGTACCTTGTCCTTGAAGCAGGCTCTGGAATCCAAATTATGAATTTTGAGGCAAATCGCACCCTCACCCCAGGCCTTCTTTCACTGCTAGTGCTGGCAGAAATGTTGTAGAGAGCCCATTTTTGTTGTGAGGTTATTTTTCTTTCCCCATACCATCATGGCAATGGCACTAGCTCTTCAGATCCACCGTCTGTCCAATGTGGGCAGATGTCCCACAAACACAGAGAAAAATGTTATGCCTCCCATGTGTCTTGTCCAGGTTTGAGCATTGAAGTAGATTGCCCTGCTTTTCCACAATACTTCAGTGGGCTGCAAGCCTCAAATGTTTTGCCTCAAATGTTACTGTTTTGGGGTAGTTGAAAGATGGAATGATATAGGAAATAACCATCTTTCCCAATTTTTTTTTTATGTAACAGTTATCAAGGGTTGATATTGCTAATTGTGTGGAGTTTTAAACACTATGGATTAAATTCAGGTCTCAGTTAAACCTGTGTGGTTGCATGGGTGTAAGCAAGTAGAATTTGGTTTCTGGTGTCAACATATCAGCTGTATGTCCTTGTTATCTGGCTTTTCTTACAATGAAACCTTGTGATCACAACTTTTTGATGAAACCACCTAAGTGGGGTGACTTTACACCAGGATTGAAGGTCCAGTCTTTCGCTTGACAATCTGCATATTGTTTATACCACTTGGAGAGCAGTTGATTGCAGAGTCTTTTGATAAGTAGTCTTATCTTGTGGCCATTTTTTGTTTGATTTTGACTTTTTTAAAGTTGCCTCAAGGACTTTAATTGAAGTAAAGTGTCTTAAAGGAGAAATTAGAATAACCCTACTCTGTTCCTCATACTTCATGCCATTTTAGAATTAACAGAGTGATGCATAATGTACATTTCTCCATATCCCTCCCAATATTTTAGCCACGTGTTCCTCCCTTAATTCTTAAGATCCTAACGTCATACGGTTGCCATCTTTCTAATTTGCATCTTTGCCTAGGACATGAGCTCATGGGATCAGTGAGCAGAATCTGTGCAAAAAGGCCCAGAAAGATTAATTTAAGCCTTTGTATATGCTTTTTGTGCTGATATCTAAGGCTGTGGAACTTCTAGATGGTGAGAGTACAGGGACCAAGAGTTGTGATGTGGTTTCTGTCCATTTGGCAACCTATTGTCAGAGTGTATAAACTGGAAGGGCCAGAGGAGGTTTGACTTTGGCTGTACTTTCAGAAGTTCAGTTTGTTCTAATGCTAAGTTATGGTACTGATATTGCTGATTCTTTAACCTTCTGCTGTCCCCAATATACTCTCTATATTTTCCAAATCTCAGTGTAAGTTACTAACTACATTTTTTTACCTTTCTCTCTTTCTGCCCTGTTATCAAATCACCCTGGGAATACCAACAGTTGGCCTTGTTTACACCAGGTAAGATCGTTTTCTTTTTACTTTGTCTTTCATCAGCTCCTATTACACAATAACCCCCTCAGTCCTCTAGGGTATTCTGTCAGAAGCTGCAATATCCCCTTCTCTTTCTAAGCACACTTCCTTCTCTCCAGGGTAACCAGAATGCACTAATGAAACTTAACATGCAATAATTTGCAATCCACTTTTCCAGAGGAAGAAAAGTATAAGCCCAAAGTCCCTTTTTTTCAGGGTCTTAACCACTCAAATATTTAGTGATTCAGGGAGGAGAGGTAACATATGACAGATGAGAGGGCTTAGTATGGAGATTAAAAACTTGAAGCACTTCTATTGCCACACTTACTGTTACACCCCTACTCTGTGTATGTTAGAATTATAGAAACTAGAGATGAGACAAGACTAGTCCTTCCTTCCCCAGGCCGGTGCAGGGTTGTTTCTACAGTGTAGTTTTCAGAGTTTTCCCAGCCCAATTACAAGTGTACAGTTCAGCAGATGTGATATAGCAGTTTACTATACTAAACTACAGCAAGTACTGCCCAAATCTGAGGCACTTTGGCATTTGGCATTGGGGGAGGGATAGCTCAGTGATTTGAGCATTGGCCTGCTAAACCCAGGATTGTGAGTTCAATCCTTGAGGGGGCCACTTAGGGATCTGGGGCAAAAATCAGTACTTGGTCCTGCTAGTGAAGGCAGGGGGCTGGACTCGATGACCTTTCAAGGTCCCTTCCAGTTCTATGAGATAGGTATATCTCCATACATTTCCAAAGGGTAGGCAGTTTGCCTCCTTGTTTTTCTGAATAGCTGTAGAATTCTATTTGGCTGTCTTTTGTGTGGCTGTGTGAGATATGTTTGCATGTTGTTATTGTTCCATTGTTCTCATGGTGCCTTATTTATTTTGTTTTATTTTTCTCTTTTAGTGGTTAGAGACCAGGCCAAACAGGCAGGTGTGTCCAGTATGTAAAGCAGGAATCAGTCGAGATAAAGTTATTCCTCTGTATGGAAGGGGTAGTACTGGGCAGCAGGACCCCAGGTAAGGAATCAAAATTCAGCCACTTCTTTGTGGAAACCACAAACCTAATTATTATACAGTTGATGTGTCAGATAAGAGATGGTCAAAACTTAGGGGAGGTGATATGTCTACCAAATACATTCTGGCTCTCCCAGGGCCTGGATTCCCACACCCCGTTTCTTGCTTATCTGTGGAAATCTATTTTAACTGAACTGAACACTAATTACTAACTGAAGATGGCACATTGTGCAAAATATTACCTGACTAGGACAACTTGGACAGGACATTCATTGGGCTGATCACAGTTTTCAAGCTCCCTTGATTGTGAAATGTAACAAGGATGTTGCTGCACAGAAATGTAGAATCTCAATTTGTGGATTTGGAACTGGAAGTTCAACTAACTGGTGGGCCTGCTGGCTCCTGCTAGTAAGCTAACTGCACACAAGTCTGCTGCAACAATTCAGTGGTCTCTGGACATCTGTGAAAGAGCAATTGTTTGTTCTGTTTTGCTGGCCAGGGCAGGAAACTAATATTACACCATATATCGCTATGCTTATACTAACTCTGCTGTCTTTTCCAGAGAAAAAACTCCACCACGACCACAGGGACAGAGACCTGAACCAGAGAACAGAGGGGTAAGTAAAACACAAGTGAAAGTGGAAAGATTGGATTAGGATTTGGGGAGGAGGGAGACCAACTGTGGAGATCCTTTTATATTGCCTATTGTACGTCTCTTGGTACCTGATGTTGTGTTGTGGACGCCTCCATTCCTCAGCATTCTATAGCATGAGTTAACTTTACTCAAACTTTACAATTAAAGCATACAGTATGGTGTTGCTGGGGATGTTATCTTTCATAATCGGAACATGCTCCCTACGCATAAGTGGTGCAGTGCTTCTGAAAATAGTTCTGGACATATCTCTCCTTTTTGTCAAATGAGAGGTGTCTTGGAAATGTACACTGTGTGCTTCTGTCACTGTATGCCAAAGATCCCCAAAGTGTGGGGTGCACCACCCTAAGGGGCTGTGGAGGAATGTCTAGGGGGCGCAACAAGGTCCGGTCCAGGCCAGCCTCAATGGAGGGTGGGGAGGGAGTGCCATCCAGCCCCTCCACACCCCCAGCTCTGCTCCGGTCCTGCCCCCAGACGTGCCCTGTGTCTGGCCCCGGCCCCAGCCTCAGCGCAGCTCCGCTGATGGCTCCATGCCAGCTCCCAGCCTCGCCGCTAGCCGTGGCTCCATTCCCAGCCCGGAGCCAAGGCTGGGGGCAAGGCTGGGAGTGGAGCCGTATCTCGCTGCAGGCCCAGCTACCAGCCTACACCACAGCCTGGCTGGGGCCCCAGCCTCGGCCCCTTTACCCCTGTCTGTGTTCCTTCCTCCCCCTTCCCGCCCCCCGGAGCTGCAGCCGTGCTCCCAGCTCAAGGGGTGTGTGGACAGGAGTAAGTGGGGGAGGGCGATCCTCAAAAGATTTGGGACCACTGCTGTGTGCTGATACCCACTTCCCTATAGAACATTACTTTACCATGTTTATGTATACACATCCCAAATGGAGTGGGGTATGTTTATGCAAACAGCAGCCCAGGTATGTAAATACAGTGAATATAAATAGTAGGCTGTACATGGGGAACAGTTATCAGGATAGATCAGAGTTTCCTAGGACAGTAAGAAGTGAGCGTGACCTGATGAAACACTTGCATATTTCCATGTAATTCAGCTTCAAGTCCCCGGAGAGCACTCGTATATCTCATTGTTTCAAACAAACAGCCCTGCTGCGTATGACTAAGGAACATTTCTACATTGAATAAATGGGAGCTCAGTAGTTCTCTCTCCGCGGAGCGTTGCCTGCTTATTAAATCAGCTGCTGCATCTTGGTAGAACCTTTTAGCAAGTGCTGCCATTAATTGGAGGAATCTGGCATAAAGACATTGCAGCCGTGGTGCTGCTTCTCCAGGTTTTGAAACTGCAGGAGCTGCCATGCAAAGAAGCATTGCTGCATCTGGCCCCTTTTGTAGGGAGTTGATGACAAGACATCTGTCAACGTAGGCAGAAGAGTCAGAATATTTACTAATCTAATCGAGGGGTTAGTCCATAAACTCTAGGTCTAAGTATTATGTCACTGGGATCAGTTCTGTGTACACTCAAAGCTGGACAGTTAGAAACTAGGGTATTCTCCAGAACTGATACCACTGGTAGAATTCTGAGCCAAGGTGGCAATCTTCTGTGGATGGGTGGAGTCTAGGACTAGGTTTGCTCTCCCACAGCCATTCCTTACAGTATCATTGTTTGTTTCATACTAGTTATTTTCTAAACATTGCACCCATTTTAAGGATTTGAATGTTCCTTGATTCAGGAGTTTCATCTTTCTGCTGGGCTAGACTAACCCTGCAATTTTGCTTTGGACCCTGTACAGTCAGTCAGTGATGCTGGATCATAAAGCAACCCTTCCTTCCCTCCTCCTTCCTTGATGTCATGTCTCCCTGCATCACATTATGTTGTATATAACCTATATTGTAGGCTCCTTGGGGCAAGAACTCTTTCCCCCTCCTCCCCATAAAGCTTCCTATGGTGCTATAGGAACACAATTTTAAAGTGACTGTGCACAGCATTTTACACATATCTCGAGGAGCAATGTTGGGTAATTTTTCATGTTACTTTTGTTTTAGATTGATGGATAGCAAATATTGACTCATAATTAAAGCTTTTTAAAAAAACAATAAGTGATATCCAATTATATAAATTATGATACATTGTCAGATATCTGGTGAGAGAATTACAAAAACATTTAGCATTTGCTAACCTGTAGCCCTCAAACATGAGCTGCAGTGAGGTGTGGGACCATACAGGCACAAACTGAAAACTGCCAGACACTGTGGTCCTCATTTAGCCTAAAGAAGTCCATTGACATGGAATATTTGGCTTTACTCTGTCTTGCAGTATAAATGACAGTATGTTTCACTTCCATTTTTTTCTTCTCTGCAGGGATTCCAGGGCTTTGGGTTTGGAGATGGTGGCTTCCAAATGTCATTTGGAATTGGGGCATTTCCCTTCGGTATATTTGCCACAGCATTCAACATAAATGATGGGCGGCCTCCACCAGGTATTATGCATCTCACCATCTGGGAAAATCCCACAGGAAATTAAATTTCATATAGATTAATTTGTATCTTTCAAGCAAAGAACCTGCTAAATCACTACCTTGTCTGTATGCCAAAGTAAACCAGTGAAACAACATGTAGGGAAACACCCTTTTGAGCACACAGTGTTGGTGCACTGTAGAGCTAATCGTTTAAGAGTGAACAACAAAACCTTTGCTGTGTCTTTATTATATAAAATACATTTTAAAGGTATTTTTCTGATGTTTTTACATTAGAAAATACCAGCTTATGACTTCTCTCTGTTTTGCTGAAGAACTTTTTGGAGGATTGAAGAACTGGAGAGCGATAGTGACATTGCAGGTTAAACAGGTTTTAACAAAAAAATGTTTCAAATCAGCCTGACTGAACATTCCTTCCCCTCAAGTGAGAACTGGGAAAACCCCTTCAGTGATCTGAGCGCTTCCATTCCAGTCCTCCAAAAGATTCTCCAGGAAAGCCAGAGAAGTTGAGACCTGAATTTCTAGCATTTTTAAAAAGAAGGAAAACTCCCACATATACAAAATATGATAACTTTTTTTCATCCCAAAAAAGTTTTCGGTCTTAATGTACCATAAAGAAAAAAGCAAGAACACTACTTTCTTTGCTTTGCAGTTCATCTTCAAGATGATCACCTATGTGCTACAACAAATAACTTCCTGGTGAATTAATTTCAATGCTGTCAATTGAGTAAAACCAGTTGAGTTACTTTAGTACAGTGGCCTCATTCTGAGGATTGCCAAACAGTCTGTAAAGCTGAAGGGTTTGGCAATCCCTCTGCACAGTAGTCAAACTGCAAGAGTCTGCCTGTTTTGAGCAGAAAACCTACAGCCCAAGATTTCCAGGGCTGCCTGTGATAAATCTTTTAGCCAATAGTCTGCCATACTGTGTTTAGAGTAAAGGAGCCCCAGTCCATGTATTTCATTTGGAATAATGAGAGAAAACTGAACTGGATTCTTAAGCTCTTTAAAGGGCTGCTAAGTTGTATACCCCTTGGCATCTTCATTTAGCCCATTAGTTGTACCTTGCTTTGTACTATCTGCTTGCATAAGAGTATGTCCGCTTGGAGCTAGAGACACTGGATTTGTGCTGGTTCAGGTTAAATAAGTACATAAGAACGGCCTTACTGGGTCAGACCAATGGTTCTTTTAGCCCAGTAGCCTATCTTCTGATGGTGGCCAATAGCAGGTGCTTCAGAGAGAATGAACAGAACAGGAAATCTATTGATCCATCCCTTCTTATCCAGCTTCTGGAAATTAAGGATTGCCAGTAATCCTTTTTTAAATCTGTTGTTCATCTGCAGGCTCAGTATTTTTGTTCCAGAGGGGGACACTTAGTTTTCAGCTCCTTTAAGCTTCCCACCAGTTTCTTATTGGTATAAGACTCCCCTTAAAATTTTCTGTCTGTTTATAACTTGCTTATTCTGAGGTAGCTTCCTCTTGTGGAGGAGAAAGGCTGATGCAAAACTTTGTAGTGTAGAAACACCTGGCTGAGATAGACTTACTTCAGCGTTGTCTTTTGTAAATCTCTGGTGAGGGCTGCAAGCTCGAGTAGGGTCACGTCCCCAGGCCTAATCTTGCTTTGTGGATCTGACCTTTTGCATTCCTTCCTAATTCCCAGTGTGAGTGAGGCAGTCTGAATCATTCCTGTAACAGAGAAATTTTGCCAGTAGCAGTCTGTCAGCTGGTGGGTTCCTTGCTAATCTCTCTAGACTTGTGAATATGCTATGTGCAGTATATACTACATCTTGAAGAAGAGGAAAGAACTGAACTGTTTTACTTCCTGTTTTTCAGCTGTTCCAGGGACTCCCCAGTATGTGGATGAGCAGTTCCTATCTCGTCTCTTCCTGTTTGTGGCTCTGGTGATCATGTTCTGGCTGTTGATTGCATAACTGCTCTATACCCTGTATATTCTTGGTCATCAGGGTCTCTGAACTAGTTAAAAACTGCTCCCCCATCCCACTTTAAACTTTTTGGTGTCTGGTTCCATAGCTAATCACAGGTTCCAGGAATCAGTGGTGCCACAGCGTATTGAGGAATTTCGCATGTTGCATCAGAACCTTGGAATTAAATAACAGTTAAAAAGCATGTCTTACCTCAGCCATGTCTCATACCGCTGGTATCCAGATACAACCATGGACCTAGCTTTGAGCTTCACTCTCAAAAGGGAGCGTTGCTTTGAAATCCTGTGCCAATCAGCTAGGCCAGGTTTATGTGGAAGACACTGGTACTGAAGGAGTGTGGGCGGGTGAGGAAAGGAACCTACTGCATTGTTCATCAGTATCACGTGTGTAACATCCATGATGGGAACGAAATGCATCAGTTGAAGTTCCAGAACATTCTTTAATCTTTTTATATCAAAGTCCAGTTCTTGCCAGGAAATACCTTGCAGCACTAATAAGACTTCTTTGGGAGGGCATCTGCCTGAAAATGGAATCAGCTTTGGAGACCAGTGTTCTATACCTGCTGTTACTCACCAGAGTTGTGAAAAGTCCATGGCACTTGAATGGCTGTAACAGGAGGGGTTAAGAAACTTCAGCCTAAAATTGTAAAATAATCTGACTTTTCTGGAGCTAGACTCTTGAAAATTCTCTCATCATGGGATTGGGTAGGGTTGTTGGACAGTAGAGTACCTGTCTGGCCACATGCAGTGCCGTTCCTCAGTGACAAAGCAGTGTTTGTTTTTCTTGGGTTTGTGCAGCTGTCTTTGGCTTTCCTCATGGATAGTACCTTCATAACTCTATTGCTGTAGCTGCACTCACTCCTTCTTCCAAAGTTGTGAGACTTCCAGGACTATTGTGTACTCTGAATAAAATAATTTTACAGATCTGAGATCATCTTGTTTCGGGGGAGAGGCCACAATGGGGATTTATTAAGTGAGTTGTGAGGTTAACTTTTCAAACACATTTATTTTGGCAAACAATGAAATCTAAACTTGCCTAGCAGGTGCCACTGTAGGGAATAGTGTAAGACCATTGCCTGTATGGTAGTGCACAGCTGCTTCCAGCCTATAAGGAATAGCTGTAGTGCACGAGCTGCTGCAGGTTTACCAAAGATAATAATTTGAAGGACAGGAGGTTACAAATATTTTTGTGCCTGGAGGAGGATGTTGCAGAAGGTGTGCCCACAACTCTGAAAGCTTTTATGGAATTCTGTTAGGTATAAAGCTTTAAAAAGTGTTTCTGATTGATTCTCTGGATCCACAGTACCTGAAATATGAGGGATTTTTTACCTCTGTTTGACTTTCTTCTAATTTTAACTGGACACTTTCAAAAGGATTCTCTTCTGTCTTTATTTTGAGATACTGTTTCTTTGACTCAGATCACTAATAGTCAGAGACTAACCTGTAGAGAGGCTTTTTGTGACTTCCTGGACAATAAATCATGATATTTGACAAAACAAATCAATATATAGAAACTCACTGACTTGCTTCAGGAGCTAGGCTTTTTCTCATGTACAAGGATGAAGTACCTAGACAGGACAACCATGAGCAGTAGCAATGAAACTTGCTTGCCTAAACACAAACTGTTCATCCACCTGTAGCATGATGGTGTGGGAGAAGCAGGTAGGAGTTTTGTTTGCCTACCCCAAAAGTCTCCTAAGCAAGCAGGATTTTGCAAAGCTGGCTTCTGCAATAGTTTACCTCATCCATCATATACCAAGATGCAAGATCTGGTTGAGTATAGGTAATTCAAGTGCTGCTTGAACAGTATAGGCACTTTGGGAGCTTCATCCCTTCTAATTGGCTTCTGTAGTGCATATTTTGGAAATTAAGTGCATTTTTATCATCAGCTGGCCATATTATGAAGCTTTTTCAGTGCCTTGATGTTTTATTGAGAGGCAGCTCCACCTGCTGGTGAAAAGGGAACGTTCATCTGCTAATGTAAAAGGGATTTTATTTCCTTCCCTTCTACCATTATTCTGAGAATCTGCTATGCTAGGAAAGAGAGCGTGTTCTTCCGGAAGTAATCTGGTATGAAGATTATTTCTTCAAAGCTTTTATCCTTTGGAGATGACAGTGAGAAATTCAGCTGTAACATGAACAAAAGAGGTATTAAACCAGACTTAATAAAAAAAATTTTGTTTTTAAAATATAAAATTTTAAGCTTATTTTGCCAGTTGCTCTTGAGAAGCTGAAGGGGTGAAGACTGAAGTGGCTGCAATGACAGAATTTAGAGTAATTAGTTTCCTGGCAATCCAAGAATGAGATAGTTTAAGTGTTAATGCTTCTGATTTTCTTAGTGTGCATTTTGTATTGTATCATTTTCCCCTCCCTTGTATTCAGACTGCACATGGCCTGCAGTTAGAGAAAGATGGCACATACAGTGCAACCCTTTACTGTTCACTAATTTTCACTGTTGTGAAAGTGATTTAGAATAAAAAATGGTTTTACATTGACCTCAGCCTATGTGGATTCCTTTTGTTAAGGAAGTGCAGTGCCCTTGCCTTGTGCTACTTGGAATTTCGCTGTAGGAGGTATTACTGTGAACACAGTGGCAGAAAAAATATTTTATATCTATATTATTGTGGAAAATGTTAGCAGTATCAGAGCTGCTGTTGGTACACCTGCTCTGTAGGATGTATGTCTATGATGTATTCTTCACTCAAAGAAGGAACCAGCTGATGCTGTCTTCTGATAAATGGCAATGAAACAGTCTTTGAGGGTGCTGGAGACTAGACTTAAAGGGATATCCTCTATACCTACTGATCCTTTTACATAGAGTACATTCCTTGGAGCTGAAGGTGCTACCTGTATTAGCATATAGGCCAGCTATTTCTAGTCTAAACAGACCATCTGTGAGATTGAACTATGCCTCTTTCAACAGAGAAAGCAAAAAAGCAGGCATCCCTTTGGTTCACTACTTATGTCTTGAGAAAAAAATGTGACATTAACATTTTTTTAAATCAGGAAGCTATTTTGCATATGGGGGTGAATCTGCTCAAGAATTCATGACTGGCCTTTTCGCACTTCTGCCTGGACTCAATCTCTCCCATCCTTTAATGTCATTTACATAGTTGAAAAAGTTTCACCACCACTAACAGTCTTGAGATTTCAGAGGAAGACCAAAAAAAATAAACCGCAGGGTAAAAACACGAATTGGGGAGGGGTTGAGCGGAGTAAAAACTGCTATTGTACAGTGTAAAGCAGTGGTTCTCAAACTTTTTTTTTCACAGACCACTTGAAAATTGCTGAGGGTCTCGGTGGACCAAAATGTTGTTTGTACGATTAGCTATCTGTTGTAAATCGCTTTGGATAAAACTGCTATATAAAAAACTTAATTATTAACTTTTTTTGTTCAACAAATAAAAGCACACAACTCATATTTTAATATCAGTAGTCTTATCTTTCTAATGCAATGGTTTTGTCCTCTCTCCCCCCACTGCAGTAGCCCTCAACCTGGGGCTGGGAAGGAGGAGGGTCTGTCCCTTGCCACAGAAGCCACAGAGCTGAGGCTGGGAAGGAGGGCTGTCTCTCCCCGACAGCTGCAGCCCTGGAGCTGGGGAAAGTCATCTCTTTCTCTGGCTGCTGCAGTCTTGCATGTCCCAAATTCCCCCCCTCCCTCACCCCACTGTCCCCTCCCATCTGCCCCCTCTTCCTCCCGGCCACCACATATGTGTATCTTCTCCGGGGTCCAGGCACCTAATTAGTACAGCCTTGCCTGTGTAGCTCTACTAATTAGGTGGGTCACCCTTCATTGTCTCATGTACAGCTTCCCAGGTGTGCACCTTAGAGGCAACTATCTGTAGACCCCTGAACGGAACTCATGGATCACAGTTTGAGAACCTCTGGTGTAAAGGAACATACATCCCGGCTTAGAAGAAGGGGGGAGGAGGACAGCAGTGGGTATCGGGGCGGGCACCAAGTCTTTCCCCTGCTGTTAGAGAACTGTCAGAGAGTTGTGGTGCCAGGAGATGGAGTAAGTAGGGGGTCTGGCACATCTTGGGAATGAGGTTAAAATGGGAGTAGGGCTGGAGCCGGGGGCTCGATTCTATCGGCTGCTTTAGTTTCTCCCCTTTACAGTTGCCCTGGCTCACGCAGCAAGAGCAGCGGCTGTAGGATGCAGCCACGTCCCGCCCCAAATCTCCCAGCTGGTTTAGCACGTGTGGCGTTAGGGAGGAGGTGGGAGTGGGCGGAACCGAGCTGTGATTGGCCCATACCCGAAAAGGGGGCGGGCTGTGGTGCGGAAGTGGCGGGGTTCTTATCAATGGGTAGGTCGGGGATCGGCCTGTGACCATAACGAAGCGGAGCTTCCAGAGGTGGGCGTGGCTGTGATTGGCCCGCGGCAGGGAAGGGGCGGTACGGTATTTGCCCTGGGGCGGGCGTTGTAGGCCCCCTGGGCCAGGTGCGGTATGACCCACCCCGCACTCCGTAGAGGCTGACGTCACATGTGCGGGCGAGGTCTGGAGACCTGGTGGAGGCGTGGGGGCGCTTTGGCCGCGCGCCGCACTGAGGGGAGCGAGCCCGGCCGGGTGATGGAGGGGCCGCCAGGTGAGGGGCTGGGGGGGGGTGGAGTTCCGGTCTCTGTGCTGCCCAGGCCCCGCGCCCCGCCCTCGGACTGGGGGTGCCCGGCTCTGCTGGCCCCGGCCGTTGCAGGGCTCGGCTCCATCACCGGCTGGGTTGCCGCGGGCGGCGAAGCGCTCTGCGTGCCAGGCCCGCCCAGCGGGGACAGGTGCTGCCTGCGGCTGCTCGCAACAGGAGCTAGCGGGGAGCTGGGGCCGCTGCTCTGCCCCCTGAGACTCTTTTTACTCCCGCAATGCCCCTGCTACAGCCCCCTCCCCTAGGGTCGTGGCATAGTCCTTCTCGCCTGGGACTCTGGCACAGCCTCTCCCCTCCCCCTCTAGTCAGGGTATAGCCCTTCCCCTGGAGTCCTGGCACAGCCTCTTCCCCTCTCCCCCTATAGTCATGGTATAGCTCTTCCCATACTCCTTCCCTGGAGTCCTGGCACAGCCCCCTCCCCTCCCCCTCTAGTCAGGGTATAGCCCTTCCCCTAGAGTCCTGGCACAGCCCCCTCCTCTCCCCCTCTAGTCAGGGTATAGCCCTTCCCCTAGAGTCCTGGCACAGCCCCCTCCCCTCCCCCTATAGTCAGGGTATAGCCCTTTCCCTGGAGTCCTGGTATAGCCTCTCCGCTCACATTCTCCCTCTAGTCTCCACACATCTCTAGGCCGGGGCCAGCCAAGCCATCTGTATGAGTGTAGGGCCATACGTTTTTGCTTTTTTTTCCATCACTGGCACACTGATCTGGGTGAGTGGGAGAGACTGAATTGCCTGCTGAGTGCAGAACAGCAGGGCACAGAAGTGGATGCATGGTATCGAGAAGTCACTTATAAGTTTGTACCTAATAATGACCCAGCTAAAGGCTGGGTGTGCAGCTCTTTTAACTGCTGCACATATCATTGCTGACATGTGAGTTCAGAGTGACCCTGCCCCTCTACATTGGTGGAGACTGAGAATATTTGTATATTCTCCAGTCTCTTGCATCCTTTTCTGGGCAGTGGAACCTGGGCATCAACTTGAGGCTTAATTTGCACAATGTTACTTCTGCTGAAAGACTATGTAAATATCTCACTTGGTAATGTAAAATTGCTGTTGAATCTTTATCATTTCTTTCATTGGCTATTGCAGTTCCCTCTTGGTTTTAAATATTGACCTATAACAGTTTTTTGAAGCTTTAGTGAAAATTTCAGCAGAATTTTCCAACCTGTCCTGCAGGCATAGTGTCCTTCTGGGCATACAGACAGATCTGTTGTAGATATGTTGGCCTGGCAGTCATACAGAAAGCTTGAAGGAAAGGGAGTAGAATTCAGTAGTGACTCACATTGTGAATTGCCTTCCTGTCCCAGTGCTCCACAAAAGTGGCTGTTCTTTCTCTGTGTAAGCATCCAGACTAATCTGTTTTTGGCACTCAGTTGTGGTCTTTTATTATGTCTGATTTCTCTTTACGCAGAGACTTGCATTCCCAGACATGCAAAATCCCAATGGGGTCCTTTGTTGTTGAGGTTCCACTCAAGCTTTATACTCCCCTCACTTTGAGATATTCCGTTGCAGCTACCATCTTTCTAGTTGAGGGTTAGCCTTACAGATTATCTGCAGAGGGTACACTGCTAAGCAATGAGGCACTTCCTTTGCTCCTTCACCCAGCAGCATTCTTGTTGTCCTGGGGGAATTTGAGTTGAATGACCTTCTTTGTTGATTACATACTTCTGTTGTCTTTTTCATCCTCACTGTTTCTCCTGGATACCTAAGCCAACAAGGGATCGCTTCAGCTGAATACAGAATTTTTCACTTGCTTTCCTAAACTGTTGTGTAGTCTTGCCACTGCAATGCAACAGGTGTTTAACATTACCTAGCAAGTGAGGTGATTATTGAGAACTTGGGTGAATTTGTAAAGTCCTGTTTGAGCCTTTTGGATGACTGTCAGTCACTGTTAACTAACAACAGTGTGGTAACTCATTGGAACAAAGGCTCTGTTTTGTACAGTACATGGTATGCTTATGGCACTAAATAGAGAGAGCTGGATGTAAAGAATATGTATCTTATGCACAGAGACTATTTTATCCAACAGGAAGTCAGGAAGTCCAGAACTAGTTCACCTATTGCATTTTTTACTTACACTTTTTGGAAAGCTGAATGGTTTTGCTCCTTGTCCTCATGTGTAACTTCTCAGGCACATGGGTTCAGGGACTCACCCTTTACTATGGAACATGCATCAGGCTTATTGGAAACTGAAACACACATTCCTACTTCAAGTGAATGAAGCAGACAGAGGCTGTGGCCTTCTGCATCTTTCTCTTGGATTTTAAATCAACATGGTGTCTATGAATAAGGTCAACTGGAGTCCTATATTCTAAGTAGCAGAAAGGGGTAAAGCAGCTTATGGTATTGAGCAACAGGTAAGTGGAGGAAGAATTTATTATTTGATACATTTGTAGTTTAGATGAGCTTGACGCAATTTGTATGGACAGTGTCACCTAAACTAGCAAATCTTTTTTTGTTAGGGTGGGTCTTGTTTGTGGCTTGAGTTACTTAGATATGTGTACATATATTGATCTCTGCACTGGGGGTGAGAGACTCGTGACTTCCTATCCCTTGCAGCTTCCTGTCTCATTATGAATGCTGAGGATGAGACCAGGAAACTGAGTTAAATATCTGTTAATATTTAGAAAAGCCCTAAGCGACTTAGAGAGATGTTCTTCAATGAAAGATTATCCTAAATACTGAGAAGAGTACCTAGAGCAAACATTAATCATCATTGAAGTCTAATTAATGGTTTATAGAATCAGGTTTTTCTTCTCGTCTTGGCTCCTCTCCCATTGTGGTGCCCTGCCTTTTCTACTCTTCCAGGTTCTCTCTTTGACATAGGTTGTCAGGATGACTCTACTCATCTGCTACCACATGG